TTTTCAGTGTGTGAAAAATAGTGAAATTAAATTCACCCGCCACACACAAAAAATAGCGGTGATATTTTTTACTGTTTCAACTTCACATATTGTAAATAAATAAATAAATATTTCTTACACCTGACACATAATGCCCTTTAGTTTCAAACTAAGCAGAGTTTTTTTTCACGGAACGAATCACTGCCACACGCCACAAGCAGAGCTTATACAATGAAAGTTAGATTGACTAATAGAATACTTATATACTTTTTTTGCAAATACATACATATTATACATACAAAATACCCAAACTCTGAAACAAATATTTGCATATCATACAAAGAATTGGCCTGACACGAGAATCGAACGCGAGACCTCAACACAGCAGTCGCAAACCCACTGCACCACCGAGGCAGTCAATTGTGTTTAAAGTGCAGTTCCCTTCCCATGTAGGTTTAGACGTGACTCTATAACTGTTAACCAAAAATTATAGAACACGCTTAAAACCCTCCTTAGTGGAGGGTTTAAGCGTGTGCTAGTGCTAGAGTTTAAAAAAATTGCAAAAAAAATGAAGTTAGGTGCTTTGATACTAATAATAATTCATTATATTCATAAGTAACTAAGACTCACACTAAAATTATTATTAACATTCTTTAAAGATGTACAATGAAATGCATAAATTGAATATGTCGTGTGCTTTTGCCAGCTAATTAACTTCTTTGTTTTTCTGGTTTTTAACTGTCTGCGGTGCAGTAAACTCTAAACAATTTGTGCAGAACTCTGATGTAATCGTAGGAAAGTGTAAAACGTTCTGTTGATTGAACTGATTACATCTCTCCTTATTCTTCCATTGAGTAAATCTAAATCGTCTAAATCTTCTGGTATCTGACTTTAGCCATTACAATGTTTGCATTACCTTTCAAAAGTCATAGCTGAAACATATAAATCAATCCAAACTACATTAATTTCTATCATCAATTCAGGGTCTGAAGCATCTTCTGTAGATTTTAAACTCAGAAACTCTTTAATTAAATGAAAATTGATAATGCGTGCGTTAGTTGTCTCCTGTCTAAAACCAAACCCGTACCTATCATCTTCAATAAAAACTTTTTATGTGCTTTTTCTTATTGCTTATAACAAAAGTTACTTACCCGACACAACCACTAGGTTTGTCCACACAAAACAAGCCGTAGATACGATCAGATATCGTAATTGCCGTAGCAAAAAGAAGTCAAATTGAACTCGAGATAGCACTACAGTGAGGACACCACGCTCCAAAGTCAAGTGGTCCGCTGTTTTCCTTCCACGAGATTGGAATCGACACGGCGTTCTCGGTCATCCTCTCTTTGTCCCTCCATTTTATTTGCTTCCTTTTTACAGATATTTTATTCTCCTTCTAGGTAAATTATTTACTAAATGAAATTTGATTACGTTTCTTTATGTGTGCTTACAGGAGATTGTTTACTAAGTCGCTGTTGTAGCCATATTTTATGTTAATTTTGGTTATACTCTTTAAGTACATGTACTTAATGAAGTGAAACAGTACGATTTACTCTTATCGCGTTCCACTTATTTAACTTATCGCTATCATTAATAATCAGAAGAAAAAAAAGTGGTATTCTAATAATATAAAAGAAGTGATGTCATGTCTTTTTGCTTTTTCTGGATTCCTGCGTTTCCCTAAAATTGAAAACCGCAACGACGATGTGAGCGAGTGCTCTGTAAAAATCCACAGGTAGGTAGATATGTTTAAGTACAGATACAACAGACCGTCCCGTTTAAATATTCAGCAATGGCTAAAAATGGTCGTGTTAAAAATTTCAGTAAAGTTTTTTTTGTGGGAAACATAAAAGGAAGATAAAAAGATAACCCGTAGCTTCACTAGGGGCCTCTTCTCTTCTTCTTAGCCCAACTTAGAATGAAGACTATCAATATGATTATACGTCAGTCATAAACCTAACCATTAGTGTAACCATTACTAATATCGAATAACTTTAATCTGGGTATACAAAAAGTTGAGTTAAATATTTATTACATTTATAAAATGAATAGGCTAAGATAATACACGAAATAAGCTTTTATTTAGCGTTCCAAATAAAAGCAGTAAGTTTGCTGGTAGCTCACAAAATTATACTTGAACTCGGCTGCACTCAGTGGGTAGCGTGAAATAAAACGAAGTGGACGGCAGTAAAGTAATTGAGACGTAGCTGTCTTCGGACAGTCGTTTGTTTAAATGTAGAATGTTTTCCCCTTGTAACGGAGTACGTTATTTATTCACTAGACACTTTAGCTGTAAATTAATTGCTTACACAGATTTATATAATTTAACTGCACTAAATTTCGTCAGTGACGGTGACGTTTAGTATTGGTGTTAATAGTAAAAAATTGTATTGTAAAAAATACAAGACTTCTGAAAAAATAATATATATTTAAAAATTATAAATACCCCACAAGGGATAAATAACCCATACTGTTAAGCAATAGTGAGGAACATAGACGTACGTGGCTGACAACGCTTCCAGTGACTATACTACAGGGTGGCGCAATAGAACGTCCATATTGCATCATCTTTTTTCGCGGGGTAGAAAGTGCGCGGGCGGGGGGAGCCTGCATCGTTGGGTAGGCGGGCTCATGGAGTTTTGTCACTATGAGTCACTTCGACGGGAAGCGTCGCGCATTTTGCGTGCGCGCATTTTACGAGAACTCTCGTTCATACATCGTTACTAGGCGTTTATATTGTTCTGAATATGGACTACGGCAAATTAGTAAAGCTCCGAGTGCTAATTTAATTAAAATATGTACTAACCTAAGTGTTCGTCGTCTAAACATTTGTCGCCTGTAGTGTATCCTATTATACCCTGCTATGATCTATCTGAGCACAGTTTTGACCCTCTGCCGTTATATAATTTTCACCCATTTTCAACTATTTTATAGCAATAACAAGAACAAATAAGATTTACTTTTTTTATTCTCTATATTTTTTTTACTCTTAATTATTATTAATTAACTTCTTAACATTTTTAGGCAACTTTATCTGCTTACCTTCCTGCCAGCTATTTCCGTTTACCAACTTAATTGTAAAAATATTATTTTTTTCCAACACAGTTGTAAAAATATGACGTTTTGGAAAGAAGTGCAATATATTCGGACGCCAATTGAAATCATAAAACTGGTCTAGTATACTATAGAATACCTTAAAGATCCCGTTTAACATCATTAGTAGTAACAAAATCACTATGTTTCACTAAAGTAGTCTCGTCCGAACTCTTTAAATGGTTCTAGTAACCATAACAAATTCACTATACCCACTAATAACTAATTCACCATCAAAATGTATTTATTATATTAGATTTAGTTTATTTGAATAGAAAAAACACAAGTTACGTTATCTAAGAAAAAGAACGAGCTAACATTCCATGTTCTAATAACTTTCAAAAATCTTTAAAAATCACCTAATGAATTTTGTCGTTTCGTATTCAGGTCTCCCCTACGGTATGGCACTCAAAATGCTAACAAGAATCGAAACCTCTCTACACACTCCGCTGTCCGAGTACAACAAACATTAGGCTTCGAATTCTCTCTGGGATGTTTGAATTTTCGAATAACCACTTTCGAGTGTTATCGAGGCGCATTCGAATAGAATTTTTAGAATTTCAGTCCGTAAGATTTTTTTACCTCGTATTTGATTAGAGACAAAACGTTGTTGGGCTATTGTCAGTCAGCTGATAAAGGCGTGAGCCTCTGCTACGTGCTCCGGAGGGGGCTTTGGTAAATAAAAATCGCGCGCAGTTTCAATTTGTGTCAAGAGATTTAGATTTACGAAGACTATGAAATGAGAACAATATTTTTTATAATAGTAATATATTTGTATATGTCTATCTATCTATCTGTATCTGTGTGCGAAGGGGCTAAGCGCGCGATACGGCGAAAAAGGAAACTTGAAGTCGCGTCTGAAATGTAATTGCAATACTTGCTGAAAGTGTTTCCATTGTATTGCAATTTAATGAAAAGTTAATCTGTCTGTTGTCGCGCACTTTGTCTGTTTCGTTGTTGTTCTCGACTGTTTTAGGATGTTTCCTTTGTGCTTGATGTAATACCGAATTGCCGCAATAAGTTTTCTTTTTTACTTTTATTGTAAACACAAACCACATTTCGCATTTGTTACGAAACGAGTTAAATCCATAGAAAACATTTTACTTTGTATCAAACATTATGTTAAAATAATTAAAATAAAAAATAAATTTTGTATGTCTTCGTACTTAGCCACGAGATAGATATTGTCAATGTCTATTTTAAGTGCATCCGCTTGTTGACGTCGGCGGGAAAACTCCTATAAAATGTACTGTTTAAAAAAAAAACAAATATTACCAAACATATAATTGCGTTATTGTTATTAAAGAAAATTAATAACTGCTTGCAAATATTTGCTATTCGGAAATAGACCCAAATGGGCTGTTCATTTCGTGTACGACTGACATCCGATTTATGTCATATTGATGACTCGTTTTTACTTAATCCATCAATATGTGTATCTCTAATCTATCCAAAAGTATCTTTTATCCTTTCCTGTACTCCTGACAAGATAAAATAATATGCAAAAATCCATGATGATCGGTTCAGTGACGTGAAGACTTAAACTCGTAACAAACAAAGAAGTAACAATAACTTTCACATTTATAATAATAATTAGGATAGTAACAAATAGCTTAAACGACACTCTCGACTATTCCAATGTATAATAGCGTGCGGAATTCAGCTAATAATGTAACCGGTGACAATTGTGGCACACCGCACCGTAGAGAATCACAATTTACCTCGTTGTCTGCGACACTCGCGGTCCCTAACGTCCAACCGTTCAACCAACCATAGCTTATTTTTCTTTTACTTTTCAGTGAAGCAATGCAATTTCGCTCCCTGGGAAATAAACGCCACAGCCGTTTTTATATTGTACACTAGGATTTCGTATTTTCGTCTGCGGCGAATTGTAATTTAGAAGTAATGATATTGTTCTGTTGTTGCAGTATTCCCCAATGTGCCGGCCGCGCCTGGCATGCCCTGCGCTGGTGAAGATAGTAAGTAAACTTTTTTTTATAAGCACGCGCTATTCCATGAATTTATACAGGCATGTTGTAGGTATTACGTTACAGAAGTATAAATTAAGGTAATTGCAATATTCATGATAACATAGTATGTATAAATGTTACTAATGTTAAATTTTACCTTATCTACTATTAAATTATATTAGGCTACTACTCCTGCGTGTGTTTTGAAATGGATAAAAAAATTAAAATCGTGTTGACGCCCAATATAAGCCTTCACGTATACACACAGATTAACGCACATGCACGCGCTGTATGCATGACACATACACAACGACAGTCACTTATATGCACTCGCGTAATATAAAACAATTTTAATATTGCCTTTTTCATTAAATGATACAATATAAACTTAATCTTAATATATTAAATAAAACGTCATCCAAAGATTTAAGATCGTTATGGGCTTAATGCAATTAACCCAGAAATATCCATCTTTTTTCCGTGTCGAGAGTCCGACCGGCCCTTTCACTCATTGGGGTCTGTTGGTCTCTACTTCTGGTTTGCTCACTACTTCAGTAGTAAATTTACTATCATTTCACAAAAATATTTTTCATTATATTATACAATACTATAGTGAATAGCCACAGTAGCCACGAAAACAGAGCTCGTATATTTGTCGATAGTATTCTGGCACGCTCTCATTATCATGAGAATGCAACAAATTGATGCACATTAGGGATGTACCTAGGAACGAGTTATTCTCGATATCTTGCCTTAATTATGTTTCCATGAATATACTCGGCTTGCTGTTTCTATTAACATTTGCTATTTCGCAATATATGTTAGAATAATGTCGATTCTGCATTAATTTAGGTTAAAATCGCGAAACAAACTTCGTTTGTCTTAAAGGTGGAAAAATTTAATTTTATTCATACCTGTGGACAAACCTTTGATCGAAATCTAAGAAAAATTGCAACTTGGATAGGTGAAAACCTGTAAGAACAATTTAAATACACTTTTAAGTTATTAAAGTAGCAGAGTTATATTAATTACGAAAAAAAAAACAGCAATACTTTTTTTTACAAATTGAGTGTATTTTGTCTTGTTTACACTTGATTAAATATAGTAAATGGAAAAATTAAATAATGCTAATAATAACTATGTGGTCAGATACTGGCAGCAATTTAGAACAAACACACGAGTATTATATAAACCGAGTTGAAAGTATTGCACTTAGCAGCGAAGTGAGAGTTAATATTTGGAGGATTCCAGGCGGCTGTCGTCCACACATATAAATATGAATTCTGCACTTTATACATTAGGATTTCGGTCACAAGTTAGGGTTGTTCCTTCCTAATACAGGAATAAAGGAGTTAAATAGTTTTATACAACAACAAAATAGGTTTTAAGATCGCTTATTGGTCAATGCTGGACCTCGTTCTTCTTAATGAGAGGAAAGCTTTAATTATCATATTTACGAGGCGACGCTAGGTTCGAATCGTCAAGTCCAGCCGCCTATAACTGAGCAGAAACCAAAGATATCTTCACAAGAAAAAGCGTGGTTTTACAACGATACGGCAGTGGCTACGAGTACTACTCACTGGCAGCCATCGCTCCCGCTAAGGGTTAAGGTTTAAGCCAAATGCAGATATGGGTATGGGTTTTATTCTTTAAAAATAACGGGTATGCACCCGTTCTTTTTCAAGAGTAAAACTCATTATTACATTTTCTCCGGTCAACTTTAAAATGCTGCAGAAACCTACATCATATACTTTGAATATATTTAAAAATATTTATTTGAATTTATTGACAGCCCTATAGTTATGAAGTCAGAAAACCCCATTTGAGTTGGTCTACGTTTACTGACCACGTCGTCGCCACGCGACTCCATACTTTACAGTTTGTTGAAGTTACAGCGATATTCTCACATTTTTAAATTTGACCTAATTTTCACTCGCTCAGAGGAATGATTTCAATTGAACTTTGTTAAGGAATTCTGACAGTATTATAAATGCAAAAGTGTGTCTATCTGTCTCTCAGTTACTTCTTCACGCTTAAACCGCTGAACTTATATAGATGAAATTTGTTACAGAGATACTTTGAGTCCCGTGAATGGACATAGGATAGTTTTTATCCCAGAAATCATCCTTTAAGGGGGTGTAAAGCGGGGTGGGAGTTTGTATGGGGAATCAATAACCGCTGAATCGATTTAGATGAACTTTGGTATGGAGATAGTTTGATTCTTAAGGAAAGACATAGGCTACTTGTTACCGCGATAACCGGCAAAAGCTGGTTAAATATATATCAGTGTTTTTTAGAGGACCTCCGCAGGCAACGCGCATGCATTTCCCCCGGAATTGCAAGCATCGACAGGCTACGAGAACCGCTTATAACTCGTATGTACTGTGTTAATAACACATACCTATGTATACTTATTTCGGGAGGTTTATTATCCTTCCTGTAGACATCCTGACTATGGAAAAAATAATGTTTGTGCAATTTAAACACGGCAGAAGAGAAACTTCCGAAAAAATATTTTTTTTTATCTCAGAAAAACCCTATTAAATTTTGCCCGGCCCGGGAATCAAACCCACTAAGGCAGCGTTTTTCAAATTGTGAAGGAAGTCGCGGGTACTTTTTTTCGGGCGTTTAGCAGATAGTAACTCAGGAGACATCCAAATATTGCTGTTTTTTAAATTAATTTCATTTGCATCAGAAACCAAAAATAGGCATCATGGTAGTTTTTAGGTTCTTTCGAGACTCATTTACACGTAGTTGCGCACAATTTTAACAAACATTTTAGGAGTTACAGGGCTTATTTGTTCAAATTATACATCGTAAGCGGTTTTTGCGAAATCTGTTACTGGTTATATATAAATTTTAGACACATATTAACCACATACATAGCTCAAACACAGTAGATTGTTAAACAAAATCTCCTTGTTATTTATTTATTTATTTATTTGGTTTACCAGTAATTATTACACAAAAACATTCGTAAAAAATAGAACATAGTATTGACCTTAATCTAAGTGCATAATTTATGTAGGTAAACACCGCATGCATATAATCTAATATGGCTTTAAAAAAAGAAAAAAAAACTACCTATTAGCAAGGTTTTTGTTGTGAAAAGTTATATATAACTTTATCGTGGATTATATTACAGTGAAAAAGCTTTCTAAATATACGCTCACCGTCACGTAAAACATAAAATAGCTGTGTACGAATAATAAAAGTTGGTAAATTTAAATTTACTTTATCAAAATGTGACGGAAAAATAAAAAGGGAAAAAAACTAAAAGCAAACTTTCGTAGGTGTGTGAAATATCTCAAACAGTTACAACTAACAATAATATTTTAATTTGAAATTAATCGGTCATAGCATCAACATTAATTGGTTAAAAATTGACAAGATACGTAATTTAGACTCATATCATTTTGAAACATTTTTACAAACCAGTGGCCCCTGTGGCCCCGTAGTGTTCCAACATTCTAAAAAAATTAAATCTCCATTCTTATTCTTGTGAAAAAATCAAATTTTAGCATACCATACCATTAAAACAACCTCTTTACCTACGTTTTAAGACAGGTTTTACAACAACACTATATAACAAAATAAGACCTACAAAAATAAGAGTTTTAAATGATCCCGTTGTTTTATATTAAAAAAGAAATTCAATTCTAAAATAACTACTTAAAACGGCGGTCAACGGCCGGGTGTACCGGACTGCTACGCCAAATGTCGCGGGTTCGATTCCCGCTCAATCCAAACATTTGTGTGCAAGAAAATTTATGTTTGATTTGGTCTGGGGTTTTCTATGTAAAATATGTCTGTATTTACAAAAAAAGTATATGTACATATTCTGCTCTGCTTAGTTTGGGACTAGATGGCGTTGTGTGAATGTGGTATAATATTATTATATTATTATTAAACATCATTAGAAACCTTGGATCGTCTTCTCGTATACATAAAAATCTGTAAGAACTTACAAAACTACCTATTTAAATATGCTTATATATGTTAGGATATTGAATCATTGTATTATCAATGTCTGAGTCACAGTCTGAATATAGGTAGCGCCGTTTAATATGTACCAGAAAAATTGTTATAGTACATTAATCCACGATATCGTTTGATAACAATATACAAAAAAACAGTAACGAAAGCAGGTGTGTCTAGATCGGACTAATTGATTCTAAAATACGCATTGTCACCTTCAGGCTTAGAATCAAATTAGGGAATCAAAGTCCTTACCCGAACGGCTGACCAAAAAATAATCAAGTTTGCACTTCGTGTATGTTGACTTAACATAACATTGCTAAATAAATGGCCCTGCAATCAGCTTTATCCAACGAAATATTTTTAAGTCGATAAGATAGCGGCGATAAGTAACAGTATCGTATAGACTATAGAGTTAACAGTATACTATTCGATACCATGCCCCTACACTCAAATGTCCTGCACTTTATCTTTAGCCAAGTGTTTAACAGGTACTTGCTGCAGCAAAAAAATATAGAATGGTCGATAATTGGGTCGTGCACCCTATAATATTCTTAGAAGAGGCCACAAAGCGAGCGGGTGATTAGGATATTAATGAGTGTTTTTTTTTTCTCTCGTAGGCAAACAGTGTGTGTCAATGTATTAATGTTTAGCAACATGTTTTTGCATGTGTGTGTGTCTCGTGGGTGGTAATTTCGCTGTGATTTAAAAAGTGCAATCTGCTAAATGATGTTATGTAAGAATTTAAATAAATTCACTTGACAATATATGACCAACGCGGACGTTGTAAACGAGTTTAGAAATAGTTCCATATTTGGATTTATACAACTCCTTCCCTGATGCGGGAACGGTTACCATAGGAACTATTAGAAAAACACAGCATTACCAGAACTGTTTTTCTCAGACAGAGTACAAATTATGTAGATGTCACGTGATTTGTGATTGTTGTGTTTTTTTTTTAGGACATCTGTTTGTTTTGTATACTCACATATTTCATTATAATTTTACGTAATTATTTATTTTATATTTAAAATTAATATACTCGTAGATCGTCAACAATTTTAGTGTACCTCTCTTCACTCATTCTATACTAACGATGTGATGTTTGTTTACGGAAAAAGATTTAAGACACAAGTTTATGACAAATAGGAAACTACGAGACACTTCTTACATTTAAATTATGCACCAATGTAACGCTACATTACGTAGAAAGTTCACTTACCTTTACGAATCCCATTCGATCCTCGCTCGCTTCGGTGCCTCGCCCCAAATTGCAATTAGATCGCGTGCTGCAAGATTAATGACCCTCGCCGGTGACACGGGAGTGTTCGATCCCTGTTCACGAACCACATGCCAATACACTCTACACTGATATTTTTTGTAAACCCCTTTTTGTGCTTTCAGTAGAAAACTTTATTCAAAGGATAGAATACAATTCTAAAAGAAACGAACTGAAGTTTTCTGTGGTTATAATTTTATTTTTAATAGCAAATGACATAGGATTATCCACAACGCTTAGCTTAGCTTTATTTATTTATTTATGACTGAATGCCTGTTTCTCTGGCAGTCAACCATTTTGTGAGGCATTGTGTGAAAGTATGAGGTTTTAATAAGGGCCTAAGCTTTTATTTTAGAAAAGTTTGAGCTGTCTCGTCGACTCTGACTGGACAATAGTCACAAATACTGTAATATATAATTTCTTATGTATCGCACAATCGCATTGTTTCCATAATGTATTTAAAAATCGACCTTCGATTGACTTAATGGGATATATTTAACTTTCAGGAAGTATATACAGAAGAGGTGCCCGACGGTGGCGAAAATTATACCGCGTCAATGGACATATTTTCCAAGCTAAACGGTTTAATAGAGTAAGTATTACTGTTCAGTACAGCTCCTATATTGTCTTGTCTAGATTACATTTATTTTCTTGAACTCTTCAAGAATACAATACCGCCATCAAAATCAATCAATAGCGGAGTCTTCAGTACTTCCTTCTTATTTTAAATAACTACTAATTAGGATAGTAAAATATTGTCGGTGTTCCTTTAAAAACAAATAAGTTTAGGTAAAAACTGATCATGAACTATATGTTTACGGGAACGTGTTAATTCCCGTAAACGTTGACGAAACACGATTGGTATCACTGGCTGACTGTCATCACGGCCAGTGCAACTTGGTTGAAACGTCAGGTATATCAAAGGCATATACTTAATACCCATCGTAAGCTCGTTAGTTCCCGTAAACATAATCATATATTATGGAACGCGATAGTTGTAAAGTTAGTATGATCTTGAAGTGTAAGTGTATAAGTGCCTTATTTTCATCAATCATCATCATCATTAATAGCCTTTAATAGTTTACTGCTGGACATAGGCCTCGCCTTAGAAAGAAGGTTTATGCTGGCTAGACAGGTTGGTATAGGTTGTTTCAAATTTTCCTTCTTTTTGCATACTGTTATCCTGCAGAGTTTTCCATCCACCCATCCACACCCAGTGGAATAGATCTTAATCCGTCACCACACATGAATTTTATTTTAATTAAATTGTCCTTTCATCACTAACATAGGGATAAAATACGTATGCAACTCCATAGGTCCCATATATAATGTTATATGCAGTCTCGATTCACAAATTCTGTGATTGTTGCAACACTTCTTCACTTCACAACACTTCACGTCACAGCGTGACGCCAATATATGCTGCTGGACAGCGGTGGACATCACATTGTATGTTTAACGCCGGTCGTAAACTCTCTCAACTATGAGAATGCGATTAAACATAATAGATTCACTAGGGATATACAATGTTTCAAAGATTATATCACCATAGCATAATTTATTTTCCCATAAAATAAATAAGTAATTACTTTTAAGTCTTTTTATAGAACCATTTTTTCATACAAGCATGTTGCCCTGTATAGGTTACCCTATTCATATTAATTCATTAAGGTAGTGCTGGTTTCCTGTACCACTATAATTGTTGGTTAACTACTACCTTCAGTAAGGAATTTATCCTGTCTACTGGGCATTGTAATTTTTAAAAGGTACAATCATATATTTTTTTAAGATCGTTAGTTGTATGGTCACTAAGCTAGACAATATACAGATGAATATAATTTGACTTTAATATACAATGCTTCTATATTTTAACTATCTTTCTCTTCTAGCGCGCCTTCTGTGCCTTCTGCCAAGACCGCATCTGGGGCCTCGGGCGACAAGGCTTCAAGTGTATCCAATGCAAGCTATTGGTGCATAAAAAGTGTCACAAGCTTGTCCAGAAGCCCTGCTCCAACGAGCATGTCGACCCCATCGAGGTTAAAGACGACGCTAATGGAGAAAGCACCTTGGGACGAGCGTCGTCTGTCAGGTAAAAGTTATTTAGTTACTCGAAGAAAACATGACGCCAGCAGATTAAGTCTGTAAGTATCAGATTAAAATGGATAATTGTTTATTTAATCTGAAACATACGATATATATAAATACGAGTATAACATTTATAACACCGTTACAAACTAAAGTGAATTGATCCTAATCAAAATAACATTTTGTAATTATATCATACCAAGTTTGATTGAGTGAAGGCCTTGACCGATTTTAGAGATATCCGATTTAAAACGTATCGCACCTAAAATTTGAACTTAAATAGATGATCAGAGCCATTTCATAACAGCAACCAAGTTTTGGTTAGTTAATAGAATTGAAGAATTGAATTTGTTATCAATATCAATAGAAAATCTATATATAATCTATTTTTAGTTATAAAATGATTAGTAGAAACCAGCAGCTTATTTTTGATTTCATTTCTATTGTTATTTGATCGTGTACTCCATTGAATTATCGGAACTAAAGGGACTTACAGGAATTCCGTGGTGACGCATATATTTGTATGTCTTTATCAATTTTTTTACAAACAAAATTTTGTTTTATGACTATCGTAACCTTCTACTTGACACGGTTTGATAACCAGCCCAGTCAAGCGGAGTAGATGTTTCTGTAATCAACAGATTCGACATATAAGATTCAAATTGTAGTCGTCTAGTTAGGCAAATTATTGTTAAATATGTTGACGAAATTCAACGATATGAAAATGTAAGATTTTCTAATCAGTTTATCTATTTTAAAGTACTTTAAACAGTGATAACTTTGATCTATGGTCAATCTATCAACTGGAAACGAGTTTTACAAGTCTCAGATCTGAGTAAAAAAATCAACGAGCCATGTTTCTAGCTAGTTTAAGTCCAAATGTACACACAAGTGTTAGTATATTAACGATGACTTAGAATATAAATTATTACATTGCCAAAGAAAAAAGAAATTCTCTTGTTGTATAAATAAACAGACACATGTAACATTTTACTGCCACACGATCCGTTTAACTAGTCTCTAACAAATTCAAACGTAAGTTACCCTCATAATTCTAATTCTTGTTCTCTTTGTCCAGATCTCGGGCGGAGGTGGAGCCCCCACTACCGGAGACGCCCCCGGCGCCTGCGCCCGCTCCCCCTGCTCGGCCCGAGGACCTGGAGCCGGGCTCGCAGAGACAGTACTCGCTTGAAGACTTCGAGCTGATCAGGGTTATCGGACGTGGATCTTATGCTAAGGTAAATATTACCGAATTATCTTGTAATTACAGGAGTAACTTTAGTCTTATTTAAATAAAATCTTATAATAGTATTTGTTGTTGGTTACATGACAAGTAAATAAAATACCTCCGTTCTGTTTGAATGGACTTGTGTCCACTAATAACAAATTGCTTGGTCAATAAATTGAAATTATAAATGAAGGGACATAGATAAGAAAACCAGTCTATTTCTCATAAAAGTTAAAGATTATTAATATTTAAAAAAAAATTGAACAAAATAGGCATTAAGTCACGTGACAGCGAACACCAATCAGAAAGTGTTACGTCACGCTACGCAAAACGTTGTTGTTGTTGACGTTTTCATACAACAGAGCAGGTTACTCCTTACTGTTTTTCGTTTTTATCATATTTTCTCACTTTAATACAGTTTCAGTTGACACAGGACACAGATGTAAACAGTTTTGTTTCGCAGACTGTGACGTCATTCAAGACGCCATGACACATTCTATTCATGACGTTTTCAAGGGAAATTTAAACTGTATTTTTTTTTTAAATACAATGTACGTAATGTAAATATTGCTTTTTCTTTAAAATATAGGCTTTTTGGGTTAAAATAGATATTAAAGTATATAATTAACCAAGTTTTCAAATTGAGTCAACTAGCATATTCTAATTTATTTATTTTTACTTAAAGGAATAATTAATACTAAGTGATACAAAAGAATGCTTACAACACTACGCAATACGTTATGTTGACTTGGATTGACAAAGGTAGTTACTGTCATACTCGTAATAAAATCATGTTTTGTACTTATATTTCGAATATTTTTGTATTACCTACTCTTTTAATAAAATACGTTAAAAAGTTAATAGTTAATAACTGAATATTACCAATAATAAGCTTATTCTCATTTTAAATATTTCTACATATAAATACGATCTCACAACTTGTTTTCAGGTGCTGATGGTAGAACTAAAACGCACAAAACGAGTGTACGCGATGAAAGTGATCAAGAAAGCGTTGGTGACCGATGACGAGGACATCGACTGGGTTCAGACGGAGAAGCACGTGTTCGAGACAGCTTCCAACCACCCCTTCTTAGTGGGGCTCCATTCCTGCTTCCAGACGCCGAGTCGTCTGTTCTTCGTCATCGAGTTTGTTAGAGGCGGGGACTTAATGTTAGTTAACAGGATTTTGTTTTACTTCTTAATCTATTTGATTTTATAACTATATTTAGAATAAATTAAACCCTTAAACATGCGACGTTGGATTTATCCGATCATTCTTGTTTCCGTGCGTGCGTGCTTTTGTTTGTGTATGTTTTTATCTCTTTAAGACTTTAATACTGAATAAATATACTATTTATTATGTTAGGACTATCTTAGGACTAGAACCATTTAAAAATACGCGAATCCTTTAAAGTTTTACATAAGTAAAAATTATCTGGTTTTTTTATCGCCTTGTTGACAAAACTCCTACACCCGCCGTAATAATAAATTCTTATTAAATCCATAATTGTTATCACAAAGAAATTTTCAAATTTGTCCTGAAACAGTTAGTTTTACGTGCAGGTTCCACATGCAGCGCCAGCGCCGCCTGCCGGAGGAGCACGCGCGGTTCTACGCGGCCGAGATCTCGCTCGCGCTGCACTTCCTGCACGAGCGCGGCGTCATCTACCGCGACCTCAAGCTCGACAACGTGCTGCTCGACCACGAGGGACACATCAAACTCACCGACTACGGCATGTGCAAGGTAACTCTTTTTTTTATGGAAAGAGGGGCAAACGAGCAGACGGCTTACATGATGGAAAGGGACTACCGCTGCCCATGAACGCCTCCAACTCAGGAGTTACAAACGCGTTGCCGGCTCACTCGAAACTCATCTCAACCGCACAAGCGCGGCGTCGCCAACTACAGCTAGATTTTGTCGATCAGTTTACTCTCTAGAACAGCATTTTAAGACTGCACGAATGGCGTAGTGGTTTAAGCGGTCTCCACGCCGCTTCCTACTACGCCGAGTGTTGTGGGTTCACACTTTGTGTGATCCACAAATGTTGTTCTGAGTCTGGGTGTTCTTTGTGTCCGTTTCATGTGTGTTTGTGAAGTATAGATATATTCCTAATGCGGGACTTTCAAACAGGTTAGGTGATCATGCCTGCCAGACCGCGGTGTTATTATCATCTCGCTACTCATAAACGCTTTTCATTGCGCGATACATGATCAGTAGCTACTATTTAGTTCAGCTCGTCTACGATAGATGGAGCTTTAGTTTATACCGAAACATACTTTAGTATGTTTCGGTATAAACTCCCCGTCCCGGTAACACAGGAGGGCGTACGTCCGGGCGACACGACGTCGACGTTCTGCGGCACGCCCAACTACATCGCGCCGGAGATCCTGCGCGGCGAGGAGTACGGCTTCTCCGTGGACTGGTGGGCGCTGGGCGTGCTGACGTACGAGATGTTGGCCGGCCGCTCGCCCTTCGACATCGCGCAGGCCGCCGACAACCCCGACCAGAACACCGAGGACTACTTGTTCCAGGTACATATTATAGATCGCTTCTAGAACTCATCGTTCTTGATCTTTTTTTGTATCAGTTTCTTAATCTAGTATTGTTTTTGGTTTCTCTAAATCACTCTTATTACGTATCTATTATTTAATACTTTTAATTTAACGTGTCTATGGCTCTGCAGACCAGTGTATTCTATTTTCTCCGATTAGATCCAATGCTTTTTAATAGTAGTTGAATGTTAAATCTAATCTTAGGAGGTATGTAGATTGTTGTATACTAAACTGCTTTATTAGTTGTTCTTATTATTTATTAGTTTTACGAAATACTTAGTCATGTTTACATATATGTGTTGTTCCTGGAAATATTTTATTGTACATTTAGTTATGTGTGTATTGTAAATAACCTCATTTCTTCATCTACAAATTGTTATTGTCCCAAAACCATTTTGCAATATTAGTTTAAATTTCTCTAGTAAACTACAGAGGTAGGTATTTACTGTCCAGGTATTTCGTTTGCCGTATGCCGACATTAACTTAATTAAATATCGACTACTTATTAAGCATGTATAAATGTCGCTACAGAAACATTTGATATACCACTGTTACTGGATAACACACACTTCATAGGTTACCTTTTAATTTTAAGAAATTTACATCAGAGTCTCACGGTAGTTTTGGATGCTGTATTGCATACCAGTATTATTGCCAAAAAAAGACTTAACTAATTCTGAGGATACCACTAGTATAACACATTGAGAAGGAAATAAATTAACATAACATCCTTACGCCTCATTCCAGGTGATCCTAGAGAAGACGATCCGTATTCCCCGGTCGCTTTCGGTGAAGGCGGCGTCGGTCCTGAAGGGCTTCCTCAACAAGAACCCTGCGGAGCGACTCGGCTGCGGAGAGAACGGATTCCTTGATATTGTCAACCATCCCTTCTTCAAGAGCATCGAATGGGAAATGGTAAGGAGTATTTCACTTAATAATATACTTTAACTAGCTGGTCTCCGCGACTTCGTTCGCGTGGAATCTGAATGGAGCTGTCTTAGTGGGTTTGATTCCCGGACCGGGCAAAATTTTTAAAAGGGTTTTTCTGAGAGGAAAAATAGCCTAAGTTACTGCTCATATTTACAGCTACCTGGTAGTAAAATATTATCAAAATCGGTCTAGCCGTTTAGAAGATTACCAAGAATAAACAGACAGCAAGACAGACAAAAAAAATCAATTGGTTTTAGGCATAGGTATCGTGCAAATAACCGTGTGAACATGAAAAAAACCTATTATTGTGACATTACAAACAGACACTTCAATTTTATTTATTTGTATATAAGTAGTTTACACGCTCTAAAAGTCTTAGTTTCTAGAAGTTCTTTAACATTAATTTTTCTTTCATCTTCTTCGTCGTCAGTTGGAGCAGAAGCAGGTGGTTCCTCCATTCAAGCCCCGACTGGAGGGGCGAGCGCGACCTCGCCAACTTCCCCCCGGAGTTCACCGACGAGCCCGTGCATCTCACGCCTGATAACGAGTTAGTCCCTCTTTCTTATTCTCTTTGTTCTCCATATAAATATATTTTTAGTTTATTTGGTCTTACTTTTTACTTTTTTTTGTTGTCTCGACTGTTTAATTTATTTTCGTTCGGCAAGTTTCGAATAATTAAGTTTGCGTAAAAGTAAAATTTGGCCATTGACCTTTAATTTTGTGTAATGTTTCCTTTTGAAATGATGTTTCGGTAAATAGTGAAAATTTTAATAATATTAAAATATAACCTATTTTAATATTATTTAAATTTTAACCATTTACCAAAATATTATTTACCAATACGTCACCTTGTTATGTTTGTTCGCAAAAATGAGGCAGAATTATAAGTCATTATTGAAATGGTTATTATTAAAATATCTGTTACGTGTTACAGTACTGTGATCGCTGACATCGACCAGTCGGAATTCGAGGGCTTCGAGTACGTGAACCCGCTCCTCATGTCCCTGGAGGACTGCGTGTGACAGCACGCCTGTCTGCTGCATCCCTACCACGACCCCATGCAGGTACCCTCCACTCGCATACTGGTACAGACTCTATACTCTACATTATTAACTTAAATTGTTAAATTAAATTATTTTACTAATTATTTATTTTCTAAATCATTAAATGTAACATCTCAAAGTACAACAGAAATACTCCTACATTATCAAGTTTTTTTAATATCATTAACTCAACATTAAAAGTAAAAGATTTAACAATAGCTGGGTATGACGTCACACCATAAGTATTTCATACAAAATGGTATCGAGTTTATCGTTTTAACGTTTATTTGATTTTTTTTTACTAGTTTGATTTGACAGACATTTACCCCACCTTAATAGGTAGATTCACGATCGGTTTCGAGTGTTATATCTGTTCGACACAAAGTCAGGATCTTGTAATCAGACTAGGTGATCCTGGACGGTCGAGGCCTTGCGCTTGTTATTCAGATTCCGACGCGATATTTTTGATTGCGCGATTTAGAATTAGTAGTCACCGTATAGTGTACCTTCTTTTCGCTAGATGTCGTTATAAAACTAGTTTGAGTGACAAGTGTGTGTACTGTGCCAGGCTTACGGCTACGGCGCGGAGTCGTCCTCGTCGGACTACGACTCGGTGTGCTCGGAGCTGCCGCCGCGCAAGCCCACGCTGCTGCAGCACATGTTCTGCCTCCCCCTCAACTGACGCAGGCGGGGCCGCGCGGCCCACGCGCCCACCACCCCCACCACCCCCCACTAGCCGCCACCTGCTGTACATACTGCCCGCCTCATACTTCCAGCGAATCCTACGCTACGGCCCTAACTATTTTACCGTAATTAATAAAAGAGAAGCTATTAGTTTACGGGGCTAAGAACTCATCGTAGCCCCTGTGTAAGCATCGTGGTCCCCTCGACTACGAAAACTGGTTTTAAAGCGAAATTTTAGAGAAAATAGTGTAAACGTCGTTTTGCAGCGATAAAAATATGTAAATATGTATTAATATTAAAATTACACCTTCCCCGAGATTAGTTCATTTACAATAACACTCGAACGGCCAAAAAGTGAGAACTCTTTAATCGTTGAGATCACTAAACTTCGAAGTTTAACATAATTTGTAATCTTTGCGACGAGATTGAATAAAAACATGATACATTATGTTATAAAACTATATTTAAATATAATTATTAACATTTTACTCATTCCTACACGAACCAAAAAACTCTTAACAAAACAGATATAACTATGTATATTTAATCCTTTAGTCCACCTAAACATTCCAGGACGTGTAACAAATTGTACATATATGTATATATCTATATATATACATGCATAGATCTGAGTTATTTCTTGCTATCCAGGAATTGAACGCGCGGACGTTTGCATCAGAGTCTGATGTAGTCTGTTGAACATTCCGGACGATGAGTGCTCGTGACAAGTAGCCAACATTGGTGCTCGTTATATTAAAAAGCGTCACACTATAACGCTACAATATTTAGTTAGGGAACAGCAGATTCACTTTTCCTATTAACTTTTAGAATCACTTCCATCGGCCCCGGCCTAGCGGGGCCGGATACGCTTCGTGTACATAAATTAAAAAATATATTCATTTATGTACTATACGAGATAATATTATAAGACTTAATATTTTTGAAATTATTAAAGTAGTCTATTGAACCTTTCTGTGAGAAAGGTGACGCGAGTGTCGACGCCAGAGGTCGCCACTGTGACGGGGGACGCTTATCGTGGATACCCGCGTTTTCTATCAAATCATTGTTTTTGAGCAATAAAATAAATAGTAGTAATGTGTATTGTAATTATGCGAGACAGGTGATCTGCTCAAGGAAAGGCACGTAAGGAATTAAACGTAGAGAGACGTCGACGGCCGCTCGACGGTACCGCGAACGTATTATAGTCCTTATCAAATATTAGTATATTCCCTAGACGCTTAGACATAAGCTAGGTTTCGTAGCTACGAAACACCGGGAGTGGCGTGCGGCATATCTCTAATTCACCTAACAACCTTCCCTCCGATAACAAACTTCAATTTGTCTAACATAATCTTCACAATATCTACACAATTTACACAACGAATTTCAAATTGTAAAATATCATACAGCTCCTGTACTATGTGTATGCCACGCTCCACTCCAATGCTACTATAACGCAGTTAGCGCCACGACTGGCGATAAAACTCTTCAAATATTTCTATTCGTGGCACTAAAGTCATAGTTTACTCCATTTCCTATTGTAGATCCTGTTGTCCTTCATAGCTATACACCACTCGTTTAGGTAGCCAACGAATTTTGTAAAAAAAAATATGTAATATTGAGCACTGAAACAAATTTAAAATCGTGTACATTATAAACAAATTATAAAAGAATTAAATCTCGTAAAATACATCGGTTATATTGTAACAAATTATTGTTAATGTAGAAGAAAAGACTTATTATATAAAAAAAAATATTTATCGTAATGGAATCGTACGGCGGTGCTTGTCACCGGTCGAGCTCAAGTGTCCACAAACTATTCTAAATAGTGCGTAGTACCTATCTCTTAGACATTTTGCACCGATATATACATAGATGTAATCACACGCCTCGCTCCGGGACGCGGCGACTCGACGGCCGGTTCTCAACTGTACCTAACTGTGTGTTGTTGCCCATTGTATTGTATTGTATTGTATTGTATTGTATTTTATCGTTGCGTTGCCGATGTTAAATGAAGCTGCATTGTGTTGTTGGCGGCGCCATGCTCGTTCGCCCGCATGGGGTTCTTTTGTATAATTTATATGGTTAAGTATTAAATTATTGTTAAGCGACAGTATTGTGGTACTATTAACGCTTTAGATGTAATTAGTTAACATTCCACGTGTCCGACGGCCTCGGCCCATACATCACAGCGAATAGATGTTGCTATGTTATTTGTTCTGATACTTTGTCATTTTAAATATTATCGATTATAACGGCACGTTGTATTGTCAAACGTTAAGTTTGAGCTCTTTAGATAAATGTTTTATTACCAAAAATGTTATAATATGTGTAAAATCTTACTAACCGCATGACAAGTGACATTTTAACAATTATAATTAGTTATAAGAGGAATTGTTAAAACGGTTACATTTCCCAACTTAGAACAAAACTATGTATCTTAGTTTTTAAGTATTTTTAGTTACTCGCATGTAATATTCCCCGTTTACGGTAAGGAATAATAATTAGATTTTACGTAAGGTATGTGTTGGTTTATTGTATTTAATTTTGGTCTGTATTCTTGTATTCTGAACACCAATAACCTATGTTACTTAAGGTTTTACTGTAAACCACTCGGTGCGTGATTGAGAAATACTGTCACATCAGACTGGAGAAATTGGGATACTGTAACTATTCTATGCTTAACTGAAAATAAAGAAGATTAATCAGACACCGTCTTTTGATTTTACATCTTTAATCCTCTTTGCAAAATCCAATCGTTACTCGTGATGTATTCTGATGGCGTCACTGACCCTGGCAGGGCATCATGGATCTTAATTTTAATATCACAAAAATTTAGTCGCTAATTTGTCGAAATTTGTCGCCAAATAGAATTTGTCGGTCACTGGTTCAAAAGATATAAGCGTTTATAGAGGGCCCTGCTGGACTCAGGCTCCCCAGCAGGGCCACGCTTGTATGTCAAAAACTAGGGCACCTAGCGAAGATCTGTTTTCTTAAAAATTTAGTCGCTAATTAGGCGAAATTTGCCAAATAACAGAATTCGACGGATCTTAGTTTAGAAGATATAATGAGCTAAATTTATAAGGTACATATAGTCTAAGGGCTAGATCGCAGTTTACGAAAAAATATTTTAGTATGTATGTGTAGTTCTAGACTTAAGTCCTTAGAAATGTCAGAGAGAGATGATTCCTAATTAAATACATATTTTTATGATGTAAATTACTACGTTAGAGTATATTAATTTATTTATTACATAGAAAAATAATGTAAACAACAAAATACACTGTAATCATGCTCAATTGTCAATAGAAAATGACTCATTTAGTAGTCACCATTCCCCGGCTCACTCTAACCTGGCTTGTGGCACCTCCATGTTGCTTGCAAACAATAATAATACATCTCTCAAAATACAGAACAACTCAGAAACCTTCAAAAGCATTAAAATTGTAATATTCAGTGATGAGATTGGGAAGGGTATGGGTCAGTTGCTAGTAAATATGTTCAGTGATGATTTCTATACCAACCCGTCTGGCCAGCGTGGTATAGTAGGCCAAAACCTCCTTTCTAAGGAGAGGCCTATGTCCAGCAGTGGACTATTAAAGGCTGTTGATGTGATGTGTGATGTGATGTGCAGTGATTTATTATGCCTGGATCAGATTATTGTCAAATATTAACAAAAAATCTCCAGTTTCAAGTTCAGCTAGTATACAATTTTAATAGTTTTAATTGGCAATAGTGGTTAATCTAGATAGGCAGAGTTTGCTAAATTATTGCAATAAATTAAGCGCATTAGATTTGAATCAAACTATTATATTTACACAACATATAGTAAAGGTTTGCCGGAGGAAGAAATAGCCTTAAGTTAGATGTTAGACAATATTTATATTTGACGAAAGATAGGTGTTATCTTTCATTGTTTTGTTAACGACAGTTAGCAATATCGCTATCTTATTGCTATTGATATAACAGCCAAAAACTGTGGGGACAATAGAGGCAACCTCTAGCTTAAATCTACCTCACAGAATGTTATCAGATATATTTATTACAAATACTTTCACTCTAATCAAAAATGATAGGAAAAGTGACTGAAATAAATAACAATAATAATATATATAATTTTAAGATGAAAAGTGCTCAATGATCTCCCTATTACCCATACAATATTTATTAATAATTTATGTCTTAGTAATGAAATTACGCGTGATTCTCACGTGTTACTTATCTTCCTACAGGAAAGTGTTCTTTGGCTCTCCTGAAAAGTTGCATATTTTGGACAGTGTCAGTATTGGATTAAGGGTGCGAAATTCTGATATTTGGCAACAAATTTCGACAAATTAGCGACAATTTTTTTGTGTTATCAAAATTAAAATCCATGATGGTGGCCCTGACAGGGTCAGTGACACATTCTCATGCCTTCTTTTTGAACTCGTTAATCAGCAGATATGCCTAACTTATGTGTACTTCAAACAACAATATAAAAAGTATTATGGAGATAAATGAGTGGGGCATATCGTTATATAATACAAATAAAATAAAATATCAATTTCTTTGAAAAATACTTTTATTTAACATAGACGCACACTGGATACATAAAGTAATCAAAGTTTCCTTCATCTGAACATTTAATTAAGAAACAAAAAAATAAAAAGCTTCATAAAAATAAAACATTCGTAACTATAGTTAAATATCTTTACGGCGTGCGCTTAAATTCTGAAAAACTAAACGAAACAACAATAACGGTAATACAATACTGTCGTAAATACTTTGTAAATACTGAGATTAATAATGATATTTATTTAATAATAGTGCAGATAAATAAATGTATGAACTATGTTCACACACCTAACGCTAAAGTGCGAAGTTCTAAACACTGAGGAACCGGAATGTCATGTGCGATTGGACTACAAGAATCAGTCAAAATATCAACATTTTATTAACTATATTTTTTTTTGTTTATCCATAAAAACAAACCATTAACAAATTACCAAAAAACCATTTGGCATTTAAGATAATAGGGACTGGACTGACTCTTGTTAAATCCTATAACGCCGATATATTGTAAACACACTTCAAAGTTACAAAAGTTAGCAACAAAATCCTACAAGGTATCTCAAGCACACTAACTTCTTAGTGAACAAAACCAATATGGGAATTTATACGCCTCTAGTTTTAAACACATACCAAAATGACGTCGTTGGACTATAGATGCTAATATAAAAATTGTTAGTACGCTTGAAGTACATATATAAATTCAGTCACATTCACAAATTGGAGTCGTGTAGTAACTAACACAAGGACTGTAAGAACTTCCCGTATTTATGATCACCGGTAATGATCATCTAAAAATAAAATGTATCTGTAATTAACATAATATGAATGATTAAATCACACAATCTTTATCACAGGACTCTATTCGAACATAAAATACAATGCCTTATAAATAAAACTAAATACGCTATACCGTGAAGCAGCTAAACAAAAATATAAAATTAAATACTGGTAATAAATAAATAGAAGCACCAGACACTCACGTGTAAGTGTTATCGACACACAGGCAACCAAAACAACAGATTAAATGGCAGCTTGACTTGGATGGCTTACTATTGCAATATAATGTTTCTCTATAGAAGATACTACTAATAAGTCTTCTGGACTAGATTATCTAATGTCCAGGAAACTATATGCAGTTATTTTCTTCTGTGCACATGATCGTTCTTACCCTGGCTATAGCAAGAACATGCAACGACTAAAGAAGACTAAGGTTCATTTTGATTGCCATGTGTAGAAACAGCTAAGAATTATTTTCACATAATCCATAAAAAATTGATTTACAATTGGGGATATATTTTATATATAATTCTATGTATACCCGATTTATACATGCTTACGTGAAATAGAGATACGAAATCGGGTCATATCGCGTATACAAAAAGTGCACGGAAAGTAACGTAGAACTTATGTTGTCTACGTCAATAATTTGATGACGTTTAAATTAATTTCAGATCACTTCCTTTTTGATTCAGATCCTTGTTTTAGTCGACATTTGAACGATAAGGTAGGCTATAGGCCTAGGCATAGCCCCTAGCTTTCTTTGTAGTTAGCCAAAAAGAGAGATCTTCATTTTTTTGGGTTCACCTACGAACTGCTCCGGAATAAATTTGTGCTGTTAGATGAAGGTGTTAAGTACAAAGTTGATATTCACTGGTCTCCGTTCTCGTGAGCCACCTTTTGCTTCTTGTGAGGGGGGGAATTGAACAGCGCGCCGCTGTGTAGCTCGGACATGAGGAACGGAATCTAAAGAAAATTTATTATTACTTATATGGGGTCCGTGTGGTGACTCATTAAGAATATAGTGTCACTAGACCTAATTCATCCCAAAAGTGTCGTTGAGAGCCGACTAAGGGAGCAAACTACGCAGGACAACAATACTGCAAAGAGAAGGAAAACTTGAAACAAACATTATACCAACCCGTCTGGCCAGCGAGATATAGTAGGCCAAAACCTCCTTTCTGAGGAGAGGCCTATGTACAGAATATTAAAGGCTGTTAGTGGTGAGAATGGGTATTACTTCTCTGGGTCTCTGGGTCTCTGGGTCTCTGGGTCTCTGGGTCTCTGGGTCTCTTACCCCCTCTAGAGGGTGACCCTTTTTAACCTCCTGTTTATCTCTTACTGTTTTCTTATCAGTCAACGTTAGGTGTTTAATACTTTACTAAGAAAATACCTTTTGTCGCAGTTGTGAGATTGAAAGTTGATCGGAACTGAATTGAGACCCAACTTTTATTGATAATTGGCCTTCAGGTTACCTCAGGACACTATCGTGGTTAGCCGGAGACGACGGGGGCAGCGAGGCTGATGTTCCGCCCGTCAGGGAATCGGAGTTGGGGTGGCTGTTCTACGGATTCGATCCAAGAACACTGCCCCCGGGTTCCAGCCCGAGTGATGGCCCGAGCCCTCGACTGCATGTCGGACCACCTCAGGGAGGTGTTGGACGCTAGCCTGGAGTCCGGACGCTTCCCTGAGCGCTGGAAGTGCGGGAAGCTGGTCCTGCTGAGGAAGCCGGGACGGCCTACCGATTCGGTCGCGGCCTATAGGCCTATCATGTTGCTGGACGAGGCGGGTAAACTTTTTGAGAGGGTACTCTCTGCCCGCATCGTCCGGCACCTTTGCGAGGTTGGCCCCGATCTGTCGGACGCCCAATTCGGTTTCCGAGAGGGGTGTTCGACGATCGATGCCGTAATGCGCCTTAGGGCCGTGACCGAGGAGGCTGTGAGCTGCGGCGGAGTGGACATCGCCAATGCTTTCAATAGTCTGCCATTCAGCTGCATCAGGGAAGCACTCCGCTACCACGGAGTGCCGGAGTACCTGAGGCGGCTGGTGGCAGACTATCTTGAGGAGCGAACCGTCATGTACGAGGACCGAGATGGCGTCTTGAGACTAAGGGCCATGTCGTGCGGTGTTCCGCAGGGGTCTGTCCTAGGACCTCTCCTGTGGAACATCGGTTACGACTGGGCCCTACGAGGGCGTCTCCCCCCCGGACTGGGTGTAATTTGCTACGCGGATGACACCTTAGTCACGGCCCGGGGGGCTAACAGGTGGTCGGGCGCATTGAGGCGTTGGGCTTACGGGTGGCCCTGGATAAGACGGAGGCCCTATTATTTCATGGGCCCCGTCGTGGTCCACCCGCCGGCGCCTCAATCGAGGTCGGCTCGGTCCTCGTACCGGTCCGGGCCCAGATGAGGTACCTGGGTCTGGTCCTAGACGGTAGGTGGCTCTTTGACGAGCACTTCCGACAGCTTGCTCCGAAGCTGGTGGACACTGCCTCCACCCTAGGGCGACTTTTGCCCAATTTGGGCGGGGCCAGTGTTCGCACGCAGCGGCTGTACGCGGGGGTTGTCCGGTCCATGGCGCTGTATGGTGCACCGGTGTTGGTGGCGGCTCTGACCGCCCCGAATAGGGCGCGCTTCTGGCGCCCCCAGAGGATATTGGCGGTCAGAACCATACGCGGATACCGCACGGTGTCCACCGAGGCGGCTTGCGCCTTGGCCGGAACACCCCCGTGGGATTTGGAGGCGGAGGTGCTCGCCGAAGTTTATCGGCGAGTGGCTGACTCCCGGGCGGAGAGCGGATTTCGCCCTCCGCCCGAGGATGTGCGCGAGTGGCGCGAAGCCGCTCGCCGAGCCACGATGGCTCGTTGGTCGTTCCGGCTGGAGACTCCACGCGCTGGCTTCGCCGCCGTGGACGCTCTCCAGCCGGTCATCGCCGAGTGGGCAGGGCGGCAGCACGGGACCCTTACCTTCCGGCTGACGCAGGTGCTTTCCGGGCACGGTTGCTTCGGAAAGTACCTGTACTCGGTCGCTAGGAGGGAATCGAGTCCCGCCTGCCACCACTGCGACTGCAGTGAGGACTCGGTCCAGCACACGCTGGCGGTTGATGGCATGGGCGACGCAGCGCCGGGCCCTCACTGCAGTCATCGGAGTGGATCTTTCGCTACCGGCCGTAATTCGCTCCATGGCCGGTAGCGACAGTGTTTTTACCGCGGTCGCAACCTTCTGCGAGGAGGTAATCTCGCAGAAGGAGACGGCGGAGAAGGCCCGGGAGGAAGACCTCCACTCGGACCCGATCCGCCGCCGGCGAACCGGGCGGGTGAGGCGCGCTCACCTGCGCCTCATGCCGCCCTGAGTGTGGCCGCGGGTGGACGGGATGGGTTCTCCCCTCCACCCGCATTAGTTTGGTCAGCCGCGAGGGGGCGGCGTCCGCGTGTGCCGGACGTCGCCTAAAGAGAGGAAAAAATTTGAGACGGAGCCCGCAACAGGAGCGGGCCGGCGCTGGGAGGGGTTCAGACGGGGGCAATAACTACCTGGACCCCTCCTAAACTGGAAGCGCAAAGAGGACACACCGTGTGGTTTTAGTCGGTTCGAGTCCGACACACCGCCCCGCCGAACGAGAGCCCCGGCGGGGTTACGGTCCGAGGGGATTTCCACACGGTAAAAAAAAAGGGCACTATCGTGGTTATTTAAACAAAAACCACAACGACGGTCGACCTCAAGCGCCCTACTCTGGGGAGGACCTGGACCATGTGATTACGGGTCTCCCCGAATCGCGACAACTTGCCTTACTAAAAAGTTGCCGGGCAAAAGTGCCAAGCTTCCCCCGTCCACTAAAGGGCCCCTAAATAGATCAAGAGTGGTACCTTGTGTTCGAGCTGCATGTGGTGGTTGGGGTGAAGCGCGAGCGCGGCGCGTAGAATGTTCTCGATGTTGGCGCGCTGCTTGAACAGCGCGTTGACGACGGGCGCGCCGGCCGGCACCAGCGGCGCCTTCAGCAGGTACGACAGCGGCGACAGCACCGCGTGCATCGAGCTCCAGGCTGATAGAACAAAAAGTTCTTGTTGAGATCACGAAACAATCTTACAGTTATATGTCCCTTATCAGTACGAAATAACCAACCTATGTATGTATTTAGGAATAATGTAGATAACAACAGGAACTTTAGTGGTATACATTTACAACATTGGCCCAAGTATAGCCCTGGAGGACTCTCATTTATACACAGAACCTAGAAATAGTTCACCATTAATATAGATTTCTTCAATTCGATTTTACTCAGACAAAAAGTAAGGATAACCCGCAAAGGGTGTTTGATACCGTAGTAATATAATTTCTTGATAAAAGTTTCATGAATAACGCTGTCAAAAGCTTTGGCTAAGTCACAAAATATATCTAAGATATCATATATTTTTTTACTAAATACTGGTAGTATCAAAATTCGTCTAATGTTGGTTGAGTTTGCTTTCTGGATTTACACACTAATTATTTATAAATGACGAAAACTATATATATAACAATAGAAATCACGCGTTTGGTTCATTTACTGATAAATCCTATCGGAAGGGTATTTAAATATACGTATACTTCTATATGCGTTAGTGATTCCTAAGGCGTATAGTTTTAATATTTTTATAAAACTTCCTAAAAGGTCTGGTACTTTTCTGTTAAAAGGATTAATGATTTTTAAAATAAATTTTAAAATCTTCAGTCAAATCAGCCTACAGCATATCAATATTTTCCTTTAAAAATTACTCTACAAGAGCTGGTGTGTAGTTAAAAGATCTAGTAATAGATACAGCAACACCAGGGAAAAAATCTAAATGTTATTCAAAAAATTGTATGTAGTGTGTTAGTGCGGTGCTTACTGGTCATATCTCCCTCGCGGAAGGCCATCCTGGCGAAAAGATGGGCGAGCAGCACCAGGTCGAGTATGAGCGGCACGGCCAGCAGCGAGTCCTCGCACGTGTTGTGCACCACCAGCGTGTTGGTGCCGTGCAGCAGGATCTCCGACGTGTACTCGTCCATCGCGCGCTTCGAATCACCTGCAGGGACAAGATTTATGTTACTTTTAATAAACCTTGTACTTTTAGAACCGATTCTTAAAATGAATAAACTTAAATGTCTTAATCGCTATTTATATTATAATAATGCTAATATTATAACTGTTATTTTTATCTTCTCCAACGAGTCCAAATAGTTAAAAATAATGTTTTTACTGCATTTCAAATGTCACTGGTATTTTGAAAATATTTTTACGACGATACTGGAGTGAGTGAAAATGCTGAGCTGAAAATTCAAATAAACGCTGGATTTAGTCGCAAGTTTGGGACGCAAGTTATTTTCGGAAATAATATTTTTAGGTAACATGTGCAGCACTCACCCACATATGGCACGTATTTGATGACTACAACATGGTCAGGCTTCTCGCCCGGCTTGTACAGGATGGGGTTAGATTCCACTATGTCATCCACGACATTACTTTTGCTGATCTATAACAATTGGTATACATTTTTTTAACAATAACATGAAAAGTATTATTTAACAACTAGCTAACTAACTAACAAAAGTAATATTTAATTGCCTCTGTGGCGCAATGGTAGCGTATGCGACTGCTGTTCTGAGGTCTCGGGTTCGATTCCCGGGTCGGACTAAATGTTTGTATCATCTACAAATATTTGTTTCGGCGTTTGGGTGTTTTCTATGTATACAAAAAATAAAAGTATATAAGTATTCTATCAGTCAAACTAGCTTTCTTAGTACAAGCTCTGCTTAGTTTGAAACCAGATGGTGTTGTGTGTTAGATGTCCAAAAATTTATATTTTATATAACAAGTGGTCCAAAACGTATGTATAACAGATACATCTGGTGTGGTCGAATATGTTAAGCTACGGCAAGTGACGATGAGACGTGAATGATCCCTACCTCATTTATTATTTAACGCAGCCGAGCCGTCTGAATCCAATTTTGCTGCTCACATAAAGTTTATCCAAATTGAACGTTAATTGTAAATCAGTTGGGCATAGTTACCTCATGCTTTTGGTAAAATGCTACGTAGGTACTGCTAAACACAGGTTTTTTTAAAAGGCCGTAGTATTATTACTCAAGTGAATCTGGCCTTTTCATGCCGAGGCATGACACTTCCGAGTAGATTATGGTGGTATAAAGAAGCTCACATACATTGTACATACATACAAGAAGCTTGAAAACATTACACCATGTTGTTCGGGTAGTCGTATAACAAAACTTAAACCACAACCAAAAACTCAAAAATGACCTTTTGAAAATGTTATAACTTATATAATATGAAATATATATATTTATTATGGAACGCGATGGTTTAATACTTAGTATGTTATAACTTACAATAAAATGACATATGTTGTATTATTGTTTCATCAAAATGACTCACCTCTTTGGACCTGAACTGTTTGGGAGCAGACAGGTTCTTGCCGTCGTTATTGCCCAGGTGGTTGTAACTCACAATTGACACCGGTTTGAGACCTAGGTAGCAAAAAGTTTTTATATGATTTTCTACTTCACATAAATGTTTTTGATATAAATCCAGAAATATCCTAAGATTTTCGTGATCGTGACAAACAACTTAAATAGACAGAATACACCAGACGAAGAACAAATAACTCAATTTCGATTTTCACGATTTCAATGATATACATCATTATTATCACTTATTAAAATTATTCTTACTTATGCTACACTTATTAAGATCTCACATTAAAATTATTGATTCACAACGGACTGTATTGCCTCTAGAGATAAAAAATATTGTTCATAAGTTTGCGTGTAATCAAGAGTTCTTATTATCATTATTATTATCTGATCAGTAAAATAGAATCAAAAAACTTAAGGATAGATACAATAAGCTCGTCTCTGTTACGTTTCATTGCTTGTACGTCAAGTTTTATCACATTAATGGTCAGTTTAAATAGAAAGACAAGGATGGAATATAATATCTGTATTAATAACGTACCAGCAGAGACGAGGAAGTCGACGAGCACCGACTTGAGCTTGGTCTGTCCCGACTTGAAGTCGTCGCCCGCCACGAACACGCCGCGCTGCTCGGCGCGCTGCACCAGCCCCGGCACCAGAGTGTTTTGTGGCGACCCGTTTATGTATATGCACTGGAATAATACCAATATTTATTATATCAATATTCATTGGTAACCCAATAACAACAAACAACGATTGGCAGGTTCGATTTAAACTCAGAGCAAATATTTGTTTAGGCGTATGTATTTACAAAAAAGGATCTACATATATTGTTTTTCCCTGTTCTAGACACAACTTTTCTTAATATAGGTATGTAGAAAGTGTTGTGTTTTAAATTAAGATACACTCACGCTTGAGTTCCCAAAGGGATAATATCAGATAATTTAATCATGGTCCTGTAGTATCCTTAAGCTCACCGTCAACCGGGAACTATAGGTAAAAAAATGGAAAAGATAGTCCATATATGTATAGAAGAAAAAGGTAAGTAAGAAATAACGGCAATGGGAAAAATTTAAGAAAAAGAATGCTTAAAGGGTTAAATTAAGGATGTGAGCAATATCACAAGCAGAACAAGGTTAAGCAGGTCATACAACTCGAACTGGCCAAGCCCCCAAAATACTCTCTCAACATAGACTTGTACGTACCCTATACCGCTGGGGCTACAAATTAAAAATTTTGACAGCCGAGGTTTCTATGTTGTAAGCACCCGCTAAAAAAAGATTTTGGGAAATTTCACCCCTAAGGGGTAACCTAAAATAAGGGATGAACGGTTGTATGGAAGTTCGTTATTTTTAAAGTTATAAATAATCACGTGAGCAAAGCCGCGGGTAGTAACTAGAGTGAATAAAACTAAGGGCGTTTGTAAGGAACTCACATTTTCATCGATGGCTGCCATAGCGAAGATGGTGGAGGGAGATATTTCCGAGTCATTGTCCCGTAGCGCACGCTCCAAGTTCTCTGATGTGTCGTGTACTCCCTCGCGAATTTCGCAGAACCTACGCCCAATTTAGTATAAATTAGCCATTACTAAGGTTTTGTCAAGTCTCGTAGCGTAATATACAGAGGTCGGTTAACTGTTGATACTTTTTGATAATGTTTAAAAATAATAGAAATAAAATATGAAAATAGCTGTAAAGGTTAAATAAAGGGAGAACAGTCGTCTTTTGGTATTTTTAATAGATAGTAGATTGATTATTTTTATGATTGAAATAAATTTATTAGTTTTAACTTAAAGGTCAAGGGACTCGAAAAATCAATGGACATGAAGTTCTAAAACTGTAAACTGACATTAGACACATTATTCTCTATGCTCTCTATGAGCAGTTGCTAAGTCTAGTCTACTTAAAAATATGTAACGTAGTGAATTCTATTCTTTCGAAATGTTTAAAATTTACGTGAAAAAAATGTTTAGATATAACTAGCACTTCATCAGGTTAACATTTAAGCAAAAAAAAATGAATAAAATTTACCACACTACAGACGGTACTATCTCTTTAGTAGCCATGGCTCCTAAACGGATGGGATATTTTTAACAGACTTCAAAAAGGAGGGGATTTTCAATTTGGATGTTTATGTTTGTTTTTTTTTATGTATATTCGGGCATAACTCCGTCATATGTAGACGGATTTTCTAAATTATTTTTTTAAAGGGGGTTTATTCCAATATGATCCCATTGAAATTCCATATGGATCTGATGATAAATTTCGGAGACAGACTATGGAACTCTCCAAAAAATGACAGCAAATCAACCGCGATTGCTACTAGGTTTTTAGTGCTCTTTGTTAGTATGTTATAAAGTCGGTTTAATGTCTTTTTTTAAAGGATTTATCATGTTAGTTTGCAGTTTGTTTGTTTTAAGGGTTCCGTACCTCAAAAGGCAAAAAAGGAACCCTTATAAGATCACTTTCTTGTCCGTCTGTCCGTGTGTCACCACCGATTTTCTCAGGAACGGGTAGACCTAGCAGGTTGAAATTTATACCAGATACTGAGGTCTATGGTCCCTAATAGGTGTATAAAAAATAAGGTTTGAGTCAACACGATCAAAAGATATGGGCAAATTTCGATTTTCGCGAAAACTTGTAAGTACCAAAATTTACCTTAATTTTCAACTTGTTTTATTTTTCAGAATTTTCTCTTTACTTGTACTGTAAGACCTTGCTTTTAAAAAAAGTAGAGGTTCTAGGTCAACCGAAAGTACCCTATAGGTTTTGGGTCGAAAACCTATATGGTAGTTCCCGTTGACCTAAAATCACGAAATTTGGCAAAGAGAAACGTCTTACAGTACAAATAAAGGAATAATCCCAAAAAATAAAAAAGTTGAAAATTAAGATAAATTTTGGTAGGTACTTACAAATTTTCGAAAAAAAAATACGTAAAATCTGGTTAGGTACGGAACCCTCGGCGCACGAGTTCGACTCGTACCTGATCGGTTGTTTTTTTTTCATGGTATAGGGAGCAGACGGATCACCTGATGGTAAAGGATCGGTGGACACCTATAACTCAAGGATCACAAGTTCTTTATCTACTCCTCCATAGATAAGGACAGAATACCCCCCATATTGGGCTCCAGTAACCTCACTGACTTTGTAAAGAGCAACTAGACTTGCTCAACACCGTTATTCTGTGAGACGGTCACGGTCGAGACGGTTAATCACGGCCACAAAGTACAACAGGTTAGAGTTAAACTCATAACTAGAGGATTCGATCCCGGTATCCCAAGATCCGGGATCCCGGGATCGAATCCCGGTCATATTTTAGTCCCGAAATTTTCGGGATCAAATTTAATGAATCCCGGGATTTTCGGGATTGATACATTTTTTACATAAGTCAATAAAGAAGAAACGCACTTGCCTTGATTTGACGTTTTGACAGCCATCTTGTCTACACAGCTGATTTCATTTGTTTTTGCTAATGACCGGTTCTGGATTATGCGTAAAAGTGTGTAATTTATAAAGTTTCTGGGCAATTTAATTAAAAAATATGAGTAGGTATCTATAAACATTGATCTCTTAAGCATTTAGTTTTTTTTTAATAGTTTATCTAAATAAGTCTAAAGAAGTTGAAAGTTTATTGTTAGTTTAATAAATTATTTACCGAAACACAAAACAAACTAGGCACTAGTTTGTTTATTTTATAAGAAGAATGTATAATTTTGTTTAACCGCCTTTTTGGAGATTTAAAACTTAAATATTCCTCACAAAACTAAATGATAAACAAAAAAAAATTTGATATGTTTTACTGTCTTTTTGTTACCACTTTCCATTGCCAATACAATCCCGGGACTATCCCGGGATCCCGAGATCAACTGTAGATAATCCCGAAATCCCGGGATTATAAAAATCGACCGGGATCGAATCCTCTACTCATAACCCACCTACGTTTTGTGTCGGGGATATAAATTGGCAATGGAATGGTGACTTTGAACGACGTGTTTTTGTTCAAAAAGATATTTGCTAGGTGCGAGTCTAACGGTTACCTCTCAGTGTTGGCTGTCCACAGGACAATGATCTGGTCCAGCTTGTTCTTGTCGCGGCAGCTCTTGATGTCGGCACGTACTTGTAGGTACTGCTCGTGTTTGGTGCCTCGGATCAGATTCGTCGCACGATCAGACTTGTAATAAAAAAAAAAAAATCGGTTGTCTGTAAAGTTGGTTTACTGACGATAGTTGAACGTGACAACGTCATAAGAAAATACTGATATAATGGTTGCATTTTTTCAAAAATGTATTATTGTATACGAGTAGTAGCTGTCCATGCGGACGCATCGCTCACTCAAGTTCCTACTTGAGAGAGACAGATGTCGAACGCTGCCGAACGCGGAGGCCGATTGTGCCTCTTTGTCACTCGTTCCGCGCTCTCGCTTGCACTTCACGCCTTAAATGGAACGCCTCAGAGCGAGGTAACGCCGCATGAGTCATGTTTTTTCGTGCGTGCAGCCGGCTCCATCGAATTATAAGACGTTGTCACGTCAAAACAATGAATAAATAAACAAAACGGTATAAATTTACTATGAAGTACTTGGTGGCGAAAATCTTACACAATTCATGTCCATGTCAGTTTTTTTAAATAATAATTATAGTAGTTGCGAAATAAAAATATATTGAGTTTTAATAATTATTATTATAATAGTATCCAATACATTAACACAGACAAAAGCTAACATTTTATAAAACAACGACAAATATTAACGATTAGCTAAAAGCACTCTTGCCGCTATAAAATATATAGATTAGTAAAAATATAACACCAAGTAAATAACAGTAAGTATATATTATAATTGAGCATCTGTAACAAAGAATGATTGATCTACAATCTGATGGAACCGTCTTATATAACGCGACAGCAAATAATAGCTGTGTCTCTTTGTGTTTCAAGGAGAGTAGGGTACGGAACAGTCCGTGTGTAACCTATTTACATGTCATTGTGATGTTTGCCTACCCTATATATGAAAAGAGGGTGCTTCTCGATGCTAGGACGCAGATCAAAGTATATGTTTCTTTTTGTTCGGTTTTTTAGAAGGGCTTTAGAGTGCTTACAAAAATAACACATAAATCTTCAAGCCCTCCACATTGTTTAATGAACGTAATGTTTTCCAATTCCTGTATTTGTGATGTTTACAAAATATTTCCATTCCCAAAAATAATTATGCTTTCAATTTACTTCATTAAAACATTATCGTAATGTACTAACACTTCATCAGTCAACAAGGTGCATACCTAATCCAATAACTATCACAATAACTATCACGAATTATGAATTTAATAATACGCCCATGTAGGGGCATGGGCGTATTATTAAATGCATAATTCCCCTAAATTACAAAAGGTTTCCATAGACATAAAAATTGAGATGTCTTTAAATTATGTAGATTTAGACGGAGGGTCAGGTAGTAGTGATTGGTCTGTGCTTATTATTTATTCAATTAATTTTAGTTCTTTTTTATTAATGTTGCTAAGATAATTTAACTTTATCTTTTTTTTAAACTCCCGCATTAGGAATATATCCTGTGTCGCGGGGGACTTTACAAACATACATGAAACTGACACAAAGAACACCCAGACTCAGAACAACAATTTGTGGATCACACAAAGTGTCGTCCCATGTGGGGATCGGACCTCAGCGTAGCAACTGTGAAAGGTCTGAGCGTGTAAAAAACTTTCGAAACAAATCATACATGATGATAATTATGACGGTTTAATTATTTCTAAATTGAATTAAAGAGATTAATGGAGTCTTAAGTCAAGTCACTCGGTATCGTAATTATTTCCGTGTTCAAATTGGCATCCAGCCGACAGCAGTTTAATTTTTACAATTTCCAAGCAGTATTGAGTCACAGATTGTACATAGAAGCTGTCGCCACATAGTTATATATTTAAAAATAAAATAGTTATACTAGTATGTGTACTTTATAATTGCTAATAATTGTGGCAATAGTAACCAGGATGTAACAATGCCTGATTGACTAAGGATAGAATTGCACTTTAATAGGCTTATTTTATAAGGCTAGTTTCCTGACTCGTTACATGAGGCTAAGTATTGAACACGTCTGGAATAAACCTGGAATATTTTTTTATTATATCATAACCGAAGGTGAAACGAGTTTAAAGTTTAGGAGAATTTAAATCTAACTCCCAATATAATAGAGCTCTCTGTGATAATAGAAAACGTATTCATCGAGTCTGCTTTCTGTTTGCCCGCCAAAACTACCGTGAGTACTATTGCAATGTAAATTGAGAACGTACTGCTGTCTGTCATCCCATAGTAACATAGACAGTTTTTGGCAGAGCCCTGTATTATATACACTGTTCTAAATTTGAACGAATCTATCTCTAATATTGTGATACACTTAACGACGATCACTATTTTATAATATTTGTAATAATAGTAGGCACAAAAACTAGAGTATATAAATACTTATAAGGGTGGTTTGAGCACAGGGTATGAATTCGAATAATTTCTTTTATTCAATATTGAAATGAAATATTAGCAATATACGATTCCATTATCGGTTTTAGAAAAAAAACTAACTGTTTTAATTTTAGTAATTGTGCTATCATTAAAAGCTCGTTCATAACCGAATAAACTCAGTTTTTTTTTTAATTACAAAAGTACCGTACAGCACTACGTTGGCGGCAAGACCAAGTTGTCATTGCCTGTTGTACTTATGATATCAATAAAAAAACATCGTCACATACCACACCACATTGTCTTCCATTTAAAATAGAAAGTCAAAACAAACTTCCTAGAATCAATATTTGTCAAATATGGAAGAAGGAAAAGGAATCCGACACTTGACACAGTATTTTATAAACAACCCGATTGAGGCATTGGAAAACTTTATTATTTCACAGTGAGTCCATTCATAGACAATCGTTCTTTATAAACATACTGCATGGTTATGTTAAACAGGCTGACACGTGTTTTGGAAAAAAAGGTACAACACAATGGCAGGGTTTCTACTCGTGTCTAGAAGATGAGGGAAGTGTTGTGGATAAAAATATCAACAGCGAATTGAAAATAACCGATAAACATATTCATCATGTCATAAAACCATGTTGCATAGTGTCAAAATATTTTTTTTCCTTTACATTATATTTTAATTAACGGCCTTGGGGTTTTTCCACTTATAGGAACGTTCATTTCAATTATTATTTTATTAGTTTCATTGTTTCAATAAAACTATTGTTTGTTTTGAAATAAACTTTTGACGCAGGTTTTAAGTGGTTAATTTAAGTTTTAAAGAATTTTGTTTTGGTAACAATGACCCCGAACCCCGAAGTAATACGAACGAAGAATTACTCGCGTACTTTTTTCGTTTTTTATGATACTCGTGTTTTTTACAATCAATATTATTATTATTATACTTTTAAAATGTTTTCGTTTGTTCTTAACAAAAAAAGTTGTTTTCCTATTTTTCAGGTTGATATTGTCATCGGTTCTTAATACGTGTTGAATTTGCTAGATAATCAGACGTCTCGAGTTTAGCGAAAACATCTTTGAAAAATATCGCTACATACATAACTAGATAGATAAATACAGATAGTTATATATAAAATGTATATTGTTAACAAACTATGGCACAAAGCAAAGAGCAGTAAAGTTGTATACCACGGCTTGCCCCTGGAGACATGTTCGAGTAATTCATGGTTGTCGAACTATCGAACAAACGACACACCAGGCACTTGACAGTTCCACGTCTAACCACTAAACCGATTTTAAAAAGTCTTTCACCAATGGAAAGCTATATTATCAGCGAGTAAATTGGCTGGATTTTACCGTGATTACAAAACCTAGTATAAGTATTAAAGGTTTAAAGGCCGGCAACGCCGGTGTGACCCGTCTGCTCATATGCCCCCCCCCCCCCCCCACTAACATAAAAAAACAACACCAGAATTTACATATTTGAATTTGGAAACCACCGAAACTTTTTTTAGTAACAATAACAGTTCACACACAGTCAACGATTTTTATTTTTTTAACCTCCTATGATAACCATTTTTAGTTGAAGTATTTAAAGTGTAAAATAAAACTGTGACTACCGTTATGGGTCGCTGCCCCTAAATCTCTTATTCTGTAAACATATAATACAATGAATTACATTTATTTCACGCAGACACGTACATAACCTTTATCACTGCGCTAACATAGTGTTGTTAACCTTACACCTATTACCATAATATGTATGCATGTCATAGCTTCACGTAGAGTATATACCTACGTCATATTGCCTAAGCAAAGTTGAATGACGCATACTTAAAGTTACTGTGAACACTCACATCGAGTCGGACACAAACAGGATTTGTTCAATTCAAAGAAACTTTTTTAAGCTTTTCCTCTTAGACATTTCAGCGTATTGTGTACTCAGAATTATTGTGAATTGTGACCAAATAAACGTTATAATTGTTTATACGGCGCTGTCTGAACCCTAACAAAGTATTGTTTCTACTAAGGTTTCTAAAACAGGGATGAACTAACTCAAAGGTGGGAGAGTCATGCTCCGGCACAAATTGAGGCTACTCGCTCTTTTACTTGTGGGGGGACTCCTTGTGACTCGTGAGTTGCCCCAAATATATGTAAACAAATTCCCACATTATGTACCTACACAGCAGCTCTTAGACAGCAGAAGCAGGGATATGTATGTATACATGTACATAAATTATACAAATTGAGGCTGCCTCGGTGGTGCAGTAGTAGCGTATGCAGCTGCTGTGCTGAGGTCTCGGGTTCGCTTCCCGGGTCAGACCAAATATTTGTGACATCTGCAAAAATTTTTGTTTCGTTGGGGGTGGGGGTATTTTCTATGTATAATGTGTTTGTAGGTATTTATAAAAAAAAGGATATAAGTATTCTATCAGCATCCAATCTAGCATTCATAGTACAAACTCTGCTTAGTTTAAAACTAGATGGCGTTGTGTGTTAGAGGTCCGAAAATTTTATTATTATTATAACAAATAAATTACACATATAAAACTGTCACATCCGTCTTATTTATGCTTTTTTACATATGGATTACGGTTCCTATAATCATGGCGACACCACCATCGCCACTTTACATCATTCATACAGAACATAATCATATCATTATACGTCTATCATTATTCCGATTGTACCATAGTATCACCATCCCATGTTATTATTACCGCTGATGTTCCGCTTACGTCATTCACGTCACGCCATGACACGTGATCCGCGTAGTACTTACATAACGTTGGCCTATTTCTGCAAATACCGGTCACTGTGTGAATCTTCAGGGTCAAATGTCATGTTTTTGAACGGAAATGGGAGATTGTATCTTTAAGCTTAAATTAATTAAGTCAAATGACATTATCGTGTTTTATATCATCATTGTTAGGAATAAGCTTTCAACCTTTGAATAAAAGTCGACCTACGCCCATCGCTCTTATAAACAAAATATTATCAGTTTAGATTATAAAAGAGCGGGAAATGTTTTGTGATGGTGATATATACGATCGATACATTTTATTATTAAAGCTTCTACTCAACACATTTTCTGTACTTTTGCACTGTGTACATATGACGGAAATATCAAATACGTAAGTCAAATATGGGAACTCAACATTCTTTAGAGTTCAAAATAGACCATGTAGGTACCTCTTATTACATCACTTGGTGCCTTTTCAATGCAAACTTAATTTTAATTAAATCTTGATGAATCTAATTGAGATCACGGATCATTGGGATACACGGATACACAAGAAGATTGTTCATAGACCTTAAAGATAGCACTCGTATTGTTTATGTTTAGGTTCTACATTTTTTTATAGCAGGATGGTTTTTAAACAAGCATACAACAGCCTGCCTGATATTAATCGGTTATCGTAGCTTATAATATATATAATTCATCATCATCAACACCATTTATTAGTCCACTACTGGCCATAGGCCTCTCATTATATGGAGGTTTTGAGATACTATACCACGCTAACCAGACGAGTTGGTATAGGGTTTGTGTCAAGTTTTTCTTCTTTTCCTGCCTAGTTTGCTCCCTTAGTGTGCTCTTACGACATCCATGGGTCCACTGCTGGACAAAGGCCTCTCCTTAAAAGGAGGTTTTAGCCTATATTAATACATATAGCTATTATTTGTGTACAGTAAAGAATACATTACGGTTTTTGTTATTCAACTAACATAGCGGACGACTTCGTTAACTGTGGAGTTTTTCCCAATATGTAATGCTATGTTGTAATCAATGAATCTGCGTCAAGTGAAGTGGTATTAAACCATAGCAGTTGTCACATTTGGGAAGAACCCCTCTAAACTAAAGATCGTGATTAGACAGTAGTAGTTAGTAGAGCTGTTTCTTTTCTCCTTCATGAAAAGGGGACTGTGAACCGGGATAGCAGCATACAAGTGACATTACCTGGTGTTGCTAGTGACTGCAACGACCGCTTCGAAGCGGGCCGTGTTACCAACTCAAATAAAAGTAAATTGTCAGCTTAATATCGCTTTAATTCTAAAAAAAAAAAAATATTTTCGAATTTCTTTTTTGTCTAAAAATTAATTAATTATGTAAACTGTCTTCTACAGTGTATTTTCATCAATTCATAGTACTTTTAGACATTGACCTGTCAACGTTAGTTTACAAGAGGTCACTGCCCCACCACCATATTTAGCATATCTACAAGTTTTATAAGATATAACGCATATTTTAAATAATTTAAAAGCGGCTGAGATAATTGGTATTGATCATTAGTTTATAGCTCTTTATTAAATTATATTCTCTAACATAACTTTACTAATAGCAGAAACAGACAGAACAGAGAAACAAGCAATGTTGTTGATGCATCGTCGATTTTCGTTCGTTCGCAAAGGGAAGGAAGTACGTAGCAGGAAATCCAGAAAGCACGCGCTATTGATATTTCACCAGTATTAAGTTTTAATAAATTTCCCTAAAGTTTGTTAAAATTAAGACTAAAACTCAAAGTTACAAAGGAGTGTTTTCTCCCATACATTGATAGAAATCACGGACAATTTCTCAAATTATAAAATGCATATAATTATAAAATATGAATTCATATAATTATTTCGTATAGTATCGTTTGCCCTCTCTTCCATATTAATAATAATAATATCGATAAGATATTTATGGAAATATATTTTGGGTTCTCTTGGAGCCTTGAGATTTACTACGGTTGGTGACCGATAGGGGTAAAAAAATTATAAGAAATTAGTCACATAGTATGGGTATGTTCCCTAATTGGACCTTTAAAAATCGAAAATCACCTTCATGAAAAAGCAATCCTACGTTATGCATACAAGATAAATCATCTTACGTGGAGAGAGGTAAGAACTTAAAAGAGATTACAATTGCCTAAGTCTAATAGTAGTGTATGTCATATCTGCAAGGCCTCAAAAGGTTTTAAACAGTTATTAAATTAAAAAATTGTAGGTATAGTTACACACTTTTCGTTAGCAAAACTTCATAGGAACCACTCTAATAGGCAACCAACTGTTTTTTAAATACGAATTGTAAAATTATGACATGTGGCATAGTGTTTTTTCATCGACTAAGCGCGTGGCAAAAGATCAAAAAGAACACCGCTCTGTCTGATGTTGTCGTTATTAATTCTAAGAATGTCTATAAATATACGGCATTTACGTCTAATACGACCTTTAGGTTCTGATCCGATTTTGTTTTTATATGAAACACTTCATAAGAACAATATGTATAAGTTTGGTTCTACAGCATAAATTTGCAGTTATAATTGGATGTTGACTCAAGTCTTTATCGTCAACATGGATCTGGGCTATATCTGGAGCCGGTTGATGGCTTTTCCATTATCAGCAGCCCATAGTATCACAGTCTGGGAAACTACACCTTAGAGGTTCTATGTTCTAAGCTTTGAAAAGGTCCTGTTTTAATTAAGTTACTACCATATATAGATATACCTTTGAGATCAATTTACAATAACCATAGTCCCGGCAATTTATTTTAAAACATACCTGGTTAGCAGCGATAAAGTCAGGGTCATAAATGGCCGGTCTTGGCTTCATAGTGCTCATTTCTTTCTTTAGCTTTTGTTGAAGATCGTAGTCGATAACTTTGGCGCGCACCATGGATTCGGCCAAATTTAGAGGGCTTATGTCCCAACCGTCGATCACTAGGATAACAATACTTGTGTTAACATTTTATAGTATAGATTAACAAATTGTTTTTGGTTCTTTCAAACTCAAAAATAGAAAGAATACTTGCTTATAAATGCATAAGTCTTTTTTTAAAGGACGTCCAGAAAGAGTAAGCTCATGGGATGAGTGGTGACCCTGGTGTTGTAATTTGAATAAACACTAAAGCTTAACTGTGCACCATAAAACTTTTTACCAGGAACTGAACAACTGCTAATCAAGCTTCTTTCAATGAAAGTTCTAGCGCAGTTTAGCAGTGACCAGGCACGATCACCCCGCCCAGTAGAAAGATCCTCTCTTTAGATTGGGGGGATAAAACGTCCGATCCTCTACAAGCTAATGGGAGGAGTTGAGTGAAAACTTACCTAAGTCATCAGGATGTATCATTGGAAGAAGATTACACATCGGTATGTGGACATCGTTCCCTTTCTCGTCCATACCGAGACGCACTGTAGACGCTTGCGTGATGGAGCCCACCCTAAAATTGTTTTTTTTTTTATATATTTTTTTAACTTAAAAATATATGCTTATTTGTTTTTGTATAATCATTATAGAATATATAACTCTATATGTTTTTAATCCATTTCAAAGATTTTATGGAGGTCCTTATCCGTAACTAACCGATATTCAAAATACAAATCTATGCGAAACCATAATGAATATAATGTTTGGTTTCAGATAGTCAAATTCTAACGATAGGTTTTTATTATTTGTGTGTGGCTGAAATGGTAATAGAATTTGTTTTTTTCACTTGGAATTAGATAACAGTAAAAAATATTTAGAACAGTAGTAACAATAATAATTATTTTAAAGCATTAATAACACAATTGCGGGTTAAACAGTCAGATATTTCGAAATAGTTTGAAGTAAACATGTCCGAAACCGATATATTATTCATGTATCCGTATCCGAAATATTGTATCCGCAACATTCCTGAACTATGTGTAAACAACTAATCTCATTACATTAGAAAACTAAGGCTTCATTTCATTTTAATTACGTGGCTTTGACAAGCTAATGCATTAGCGACTATATACAAGAAGAGTCTGTGGGAAAATAAGTTAGTAAAAGTAAACATAATCTTCATTCTATCTAGATACTGTATTATCAACAGAAGTAAATATGTATGTAGATGTTATTAATTGGCAATGGAGAAGAAGAGACGAGAGGAGAATGAATGACGAGGATCCATAGGTACCTAACTGGCTTTTTAAGCTTCAATCAACTTTAGTCAATGTATTATTTAATTTCGTATACTGAATTAATCAACGTTTCTCTTATAGGCACTTGAAAAATATTAAATATTAAAAACTAGCTTTTTTCGCGGCTCCGCAAGTATAAATCTCGGTTATCGCGGTAAAAAGTAGTCTATGTCTTTCCTCAAGAATCAAAGTATGTCCATGCCAAATTTCATCTAAATTGGTTCAGTGGTTATTGATGCTCCATACAAACTTCCACCCTCCTTTTCACCCCCCTTAAAGGATGATTTATTGGAATAAAAACTACTCTATGACCTTTCTCGGGCTTGCACAATCTCTATACCAAATTACATGTTAATAGGTTCAGCAGTTTAAGCATGAAGAGGTAACAGACAGACACATTTTCGCATTTATAAAATTAGTATGCATCAGTTTGGATAGTCAACACTATTCCTATCCTCTTCCAAAGAAAGCCAACTAGTTTGATAGATCCTATAGTTTAGTTTAGTGTAGGAAATTTAGATTTAACCAAATACTTACCAATTAGAATCCATCTGTCCGTTCTTAGTGTTCCATGAAAGCTGGTGTCGATTAGCAAGAACAGCTGCTGTGAAGGTGGACCCATTATTTCCGCCCCATCCTACAAGCATCACCCCCACTTTCCCCACTTTACGTTCGGTCCGGATACTTAGTGTTTTGCGGATCGGTTTTGCCTGAACAAAAAAATAATTTCATGAAAAAGGCTTAAGCAGAAAAAGTTCTGCAAGAGTTTAGGAGATACCGTTACAGAGTATTTATGCAGGAGATACAGCTACAGAGTCTTTATGTAGGAGATTTGATGAGGCGTAGAGGTAGACAAAACGCAATAAATTACTAGCAAAATAATTCAAAGATAAAGACAAAAACAAAGACATTTATTGCAAAAAACTGTGTTACATATATGGATGTTTTGTAGTAGGTAAAGTTTCAACAGCTACCCAATCAGGCATTGCAATTTTAAAGTACACTAATAAATGAATATGGAAGATCACAATTTAATTTAAAAAGCATGCAAATTATTTTGTGAGAGAATACTTTTGCAAATTATAGAACATTTTTTTAGGGCGTTCTTGAACATTTTTCCATCTAATCTTTATTTCTAGCAGGAGCTTATTAAATTCTCTTATTGCTGTAATGTATGTGCTTTGATTGATTGATTTGTTATCATATTGGTAATATTAGGTAGGTTTATTCGATTCAGTTCTTTCGAGTTACATTTAAAATTAAAAGAAGACATTACATTTTACAAAAATACACAGTTCCAATATATAAATTCCTGTAAGTGTGAGGAAACCAATTTCAGAAAATACAGATAGTAAAGAATCTGTGCTATGCATGTTATAAATAGTGTGCAGACATTTTTATTTTCAAATCAAATAAATTCATTAATTCATTCTTCAATGTGGAAGAGTAACACACAACTAGCATAAAAAAACGGTGATTAATTTTTTAGGTAAATCTATTCTTTTTTTGACAGTTATCATTTCTTATGAACACTTAACTCTTCCAATGCCACCCCTCTGATATGCCACTACACTGCAAAGTGTTTTCACCGGTAAACAAGCACTATACAGTGTAGCGGCATATCAGAGGTTAAAAGAGACTACTTCGATGGCATCAATAAGATGTAATATAACACACGTTAACCATCTTTATTAACTACTACACCACAGAGTCATCAATCTAACTGAGAAGTCACTGTAATGGCATTAAGAAAGTAAAAAAAGACAACGCCCGCATTAGGAATATATATTCCTGTGTCGCGGGGGACTTTACAAACATACATGAAACGGACACAAAGAACACCCAGACTCAGAACAACAATTTGTGGATCACACAAAGTGTTGTCCCATGTGGGGTTTGAACCCACAACACTCGGCGTAGTAGAAAGCGGCGTGGCAACCACTTAAACCACTACGCCATCCGTGCAGTCTAAACTTTAACGATGTTAACGATAATATGGTAACACAGTGGCTTGAGAATGACAACTCTGTAGGGCACAAAGGGTTTTGCAACAAGATAATATTAGAACTAAGGATAACACTGTAAATGCACCTTCACTTTGTGAGTTATAAGAATGGTACACTAATTAAAGTGTACTCATGTAACTCTTTTAATAAAAAGAAAGTCTAAGATAAGAATGAGGTAGACATCAGTTTTAAATAGGGTTAATATATATTTTATACATACTCAACAACATAGAAAGAAGCTTCACTAATATGACATTTGTACAGGACATGAATAGTTTTTTAAATGATTTATGAACTAAACTAGCTATTCATTGTGTGATAAAATATGATTAAGGCTTCATAGTGTACACACTCAATTTTAGCAGAAATAAATTAACAGCAAAGGTAGAAGTATTATACTAATACCTAAACAGTAAATACCGGTAAGATCAATCTAATCAAAACTATGAGGCAGATGTCAAATACAAAATTTTGAATGAATCTCCAAACAATTGGTAATAAAATACATTTATATAATAAGAATAGACTTTCTGATATGTCCACAATTTGCAGCAGAAGGAAAATAAACAACTGATTCATCATTCTAGAACTTCCTATCAAATCGATACCGCAATTTTTGTCGATACCGCGAAAAATTATTAAACAAGAAATTACTTACGATCAGGTCGTCACCGTTTTTAGTGACTAATGTTTCTTCATATTGGTAATCTGAATAAATATATTCATCCGTATATTTAACATTAGGGCTGGTTACAACTAAAGACGGAGTCTTTTCCATTTTCAAAATGATAGCAATTTATTTTAATACTTCAGTAGAGATACTTCTCGTTTCCAATTATGTTTAAAGATATTTTAAAAAACACGTGGGATAATATTTCAGCGTTTTCTTACGGCGTACTGATATGTCGATGCCGGCACCGACAACCTGCAACAAGCAGGGTCTGTCAACTTTGTTCTTAGAACAAGATGTAGGTGGGCTTGAAAACAAGAAAGAGACAACAACATTAGAGTAAAAGAGATGAATTATAAAATGTTGCCACCAAAATTACAATTTCGTTTTCTCCAAAACAATGAGCTAAAAAAGAAAGTCACCCTTAAAAATACATTTTGTGATTATTCTGATACCCAAAAAAATTATTTTGCTAAGAAATATAACATATTTAATTGATCAATACACAAAAACAAAAAAAAGATAAGGGGGAAAATGTGTGGCAACTACTGGCAACACGTTTGACGTCACAAGAAAAATGTCTGCCTGCGGTTCCCGCACCATTTTATCTTGTACCTATGTTTATTTGTAATAAATAAACTAGTTGCATTTAATTCTACATACATTGTTACCGTGAGTCGAGTTTGCTCCTCCGTGGCTGTGTTTTGGTGAAATTAAGTGTGTGTTTGTGAGATATAGACTCGGTGTTGAGATAGTGACTTGTTTGATTGTGTGTTTAATTTTCGCAATGAGTTCGCAGAAAGAAAACACTAGAATCTGTTGCATGTGTGGATCTTCACCTTCTAAAGATTCCAGCATCACTTTGCATCGGTTTCCTAAGCCTGGCTCAAAAAATGCTCTGCGGTATGTACCTACCTAAGTACTTTCCATGCTATTCGTTTACATCCTTTAAATCTCTTTCAATCAAAGGAAATACAGAAAGTTTAGATTGTTATTTAGATAAAACTTAATTAAAAATATGATTATTAACCCTTTCCCCCCGGGGTAGTGATTTTTAACAAATTTTCGCTTTTGAACTTTATTTACATAATAAGGTAAGTAAAACGAAACGCACAGATTTTTTTTAGATTTTTATTATACCTAGAAGTACTATTACCAAGACCTAGACTTAAAAGTGCCGTCAGGAACTTCGTGTTATCACAATGTTAGGAACTTGGATAGAAACTACAAAATAATGAGATCCAATATTGACTTAGTAATAATTAAATTATTAGGTTTTTAATTACAGATTAACCTCATGGTATTCAACAAAACAATTTTTCTTCTCATTTACACACAAAAACACGTTGCAATGCGAACATTTACTATGAGGTTTCGACTGAACCTTATTCAAGCTACAAACTTTACACCTTCCCCTGTTCTCTACGAATGTAGACCAATGGATGCCTCTGTTACCCATACATATAGAATAGTCAGATTTGCGCCTTTTTGAAGGGTCGCCATCCGCAGTGTTATCAGTAGAAGTCTTTCTATTCTGACTAGCATTTTTCATTGTCAGTCTCTGGGCATTTGGACATTTATCATTGCAATGCAGATGAGATAAAATAATTTTAATTTCCTTTTTAATTTTAATTTCGTATTTTATTTTTTAATTTTAATTTTTTTTTTAATTTCCAGGTGTGAATTATGGGCAAAGTATTGCTTTCCATACAAAGCCTGGTCTTCACCAAAATTCCAGGATGAACTCCATTCAAAACATAAGATGCTTTGCAGCAAACATTTTGAAAGCACATGCTTTATTGAGAAGAAGTTGTTCAGAACAGCTGTACCTGGTGTTCAATGCCATAAGGTTAGTACAATTAATACTTTAAAAGTGTATTTAAAGCTATTTACATTGCAGAGAAATACAGACTTTATGTTATGTGTAACACATAATATTATGTAGCAGAATGATGTTGTTAACATAAATTTAAGAAAACTTGGGCAATTACAAACATGCAAAATGAGTCATAAATTTAGATGGAATTTGGTATGTAGAAACTTTGATTCTTGAGGAAAAACATGCTACTTTTTACTGCGATAACCGACATTTACGCGGAGGGAGTGCATTTTTACCGCGATGACCGACATTTACGCGGGCGGAGCCGCGGGCAGAAGCTAGTTATAAATATTTCTTATATATATAATTTGCTTACCTCAACTATGACTTATATTAATTTAAGGATTTAAATTAATTTATTTAAAATAAATATGTTAACCTTTCATTTTCAGGACACAACAATTTCTAATCTGCCAGATCAACCTGCCATATTTGAACCTGTTGCCGGTCCATCCAGAATTTATCCTTTAAGAGAACATAATGCAAACATTATCACTCCAACCAGTTGTTCAGGAATGATTGTGTGCGAGTCTTCAAAACAAGAAGGAGATAAGAAAAACAAAATGTTGATAAGGAAACTGAAAAATAGTATGAACAAAGTGTATAGATTACAAAAAACTGTAAAATATTTAAAAAATGAAGCATTTTTAAATGAAATCTCCAACAATGAAACAGTAAAAAAAATCCTCAATAAAAAAATGAGTTCATCATTTGCCCTGTTACTGCAAGGAGAACTGCAGAATTATAAGAGGAAGAAACCTGGACGCAGGTGGAACATGGAAGCTAAAATAATAGCATTGAGGCTCTACAAAAGGTCACCAACATGCTACAAGTTATTGAGGAGAATGATTTGTTTACCAGCACCCAGCACATTAAAATCCCTCTTAAGCAGATTTAGGATGAATGTGGGGATACAGAAAAAAACACTTACAATGTTGAAAAAGATTACAAAACACTTTGGGCCATCTGAACGAGAGTACATATTGTTGTGGGATGAAATGTCATTAAGAAAAAATTTATGGTACAACTCTAAGTCTGATCAAATTGAGGGTTTTCAAGACCATGCCACACAAGGTAGATCTCCACAGGCAGCTTCATATGCGCTTGTATTTATGGTGGTTGGAGTTAGGAAGCCAATTAAACAGCCAGTGGCTTATTACCTATCAAGTGGATTTGTCACAGCTGACAGACTATCTGTTTTGATTAAGGAGGTATGCATTTCTTCTTCATTTTGAAAGATGATCATGCTTATGTTAAATAAGCTAAGTTACTAATCTGCCTTAAAAAAATTTCAGGTTTTAAATTGTTGCTTTAATGCTGGCCTTAATATATGCGCTTCAGTTTGTGACTTGGATGGAGTCAACAAGAAAGCTCTGTGTCTATTAGGAGCTTCTGTAGAGAATCCCTATATAGAAGTGAGCAATCACAAAGTAGTCACGCTATTTGACACACCACACTTGCTGAAGTGCTTCAGAAATCTGTTCATGAAATATGATGTAAAGTTTATGACCAATATAACATCAGACAACAAACAAGGAATTGGTAAGTCATTGTTATTTAGTTTAAAAAAAGTGTTTAATAATATGTATTGTAATAATAAAAAAATAAAAAAAATTTAATTATGTTGTGGGGTTTGTTATAAAAGAAATAAAACTTAAATTGGTGGCATCAAATAGAAACAAAATAACAAAATAAAAGTCTCGGGCGCCAGATACCACCTTAAAAGAACACAGAACCCACCACAAACACAACAAATACCTCGGACATCTCAGCCAGCGTTGAACCTTTTTAAAACAAAGCGGGAGGACAGCTAATGAATACAAGATGTTAAGTTCTATTGGCAGTTTATTATCCCGTAGTGTCTGTAGAGTACAATGTGTCTTATGTCTCTATTTACATTAGGTAATTCTTATACACAAATTAGTACTGTCATTAATGCAATCCTTTCCAATAAGAAAATTATAAGGTTAAATAAATTTTAAAGAGTCACATGAAGACCCAAAAAGAAAAGAGTATAAGGGTAGTTGTAGCAACGCCCTACTCCCTTAATTAAAATTAACCCCTTTGGGGACCTGTATAGGTTTTTTAAACAAAGTCGCATAAAGACTTAATAGACAAAACAATAAACTCTAAGGGTAGACATAGCATTGACCTACTCTCTAATAAAAATAACACCCCTTAGGGACCTGCAGTATTCAATGCCACGTCGCCAAGAAAAATATAACAAAAACACATACCGATGACCTTGGATCAGTCCGAACGAAATGAAATCAAACCAACTCCGAAACTTCTCACTCCGGTTCCCACGTGGTGTAAGAGGCGGGTTAGTACTCCCCTGCTCCAGACGATGGCGTGCAGCTAAGCAGCTTTTTCTACCAATCCGGTGCTCCACAGCAAGCTAATTTCTTGGGGTCAAACTCCGGCGAGAGACAAAAATCGAATGCCACGCAAGGACATTCCAATAAGAAAGTAAAATAATTTAGGTAATGTAAAGACTTTAGATATAAGCTAAAAAAGAAAAGAAAAGAACCCTGATTCATCTGCAAATAAGGAAAAATTATAGGTTAAAAGCCTATCTCATAAGATGAACCATAACTCTGACAAGAAATCATATTTCACTTACCAGGGTTCTAAAATGCTTCACAAATCAAGCAGCGGCATTATAAGCATTATAAGCATTGCCTGTAACCAATTAAACAAAGAGTTAAAACCACAAATTCCGCCAAGCCAAGCGTGAAGCACGTGGCCGAACAAACTCACCTTTCTCATCAAAAATAATCACTCGATCCACTAGCTCGAGTCTTAACTAGGTTGGCCAAACTTTTAAAGAGGAAATAGGCCCTCGTCCATATCAAATAAATACGGATTTCTAAAAAATTAAATGACAAAATTTGTTTTGCGTCATTTCGCTCGGCGGCCGGTCCAAAAGTGAAAGTCAAAGTGATACCAGTGCAATCGCCTCTCGCTCTATAGAGCGGGGACACAAAAATGTTGCCTGTACAAGAAAAATAAATCGACTAACTAATCGCGGGCGAACAACATCGATTATTACTCTCGTCCGTCCCACGACCATCGGCACTCGCAGAAACGACAAAAAATTCAATCTAACAAAACAAAAACGAGACTAAGGTTCAAATTACTGTAATGGCGCGAAATGCACCGTTACAGTATGTAGTTTATACTTAACTAGCTGACCTGCGCATCTTCGTCTGCGTCTTTCAATAGTAATAAATTTTCTCCGTTTTCGAAACATTCTTTATTGGTGCTCCGCTCCTATTGGTCTTAGCGTGATGATATATAGCCTATAGCCTTCCTCGATAAATGGGCTATCTAACACTGAAAGAACTTTTCAAATCGGACCAGTAGTTCCTGAGATTAGCGCGTTCAAACAAACAAACAAACAGACTCTTCAGCTTTATAATATTAGTATAGATAATTTTACTTTTAATAATTACTTTACAGGAATCGCTAAATGGAGCCACATCAGACAATTCTATGAACTGGACAATAATAATCCCAATTTTGTTTATGCACCACTCTTAACTAAAGAACACGTTGACCCCAATACCAAGCAAAAAATGAGGGTAAAACTTGCAGCACAAGTTTTAAGCCACTCAGTTGCAGCAGGAATATTTTCCAAAATAGCTAAAGGTAAGAGACATCTTTAATAGTCATGGTCCAACTCATTTATACACACACATCATAATTATTATGCATGATACTTATGCACATTTAACAACAAGTCTTACAAATTCGTTTCAACAGTATGAAAATGTGGGGTTGTCTCTTTTATAAATGGTGAAACTATCTAATAATTATATTGTCATATTATATTGTACTTATATTGATTTAATTTGTTTATTGTGAATTTTCAGGAGACATGCCGACTGGAGCAGTGGCAACGGGTAATTTAATTAAAGACATGGATGAACTGTTTGATGGAGTAAACGCGTCGACATCAGATTTAAGAAGAGGAAAAAAAATCCACAGAACAGAACATTTTTTACATTTTTTTATATTTGTGGAAAAATGATAATCAGGAGATAGTACTATTTGCGGATGACACTTCACTGTTATTTAAACTTAAACGACAGCAATCAGTAACTGATGACGTGATTAGCACTCTCTCTATGGTTGTAAACTGGTTTAATGTTAATAATTTATTTTTAAACGAGAATAAAACGAAATGTATTAGATTTTTTACACCTAATGTTAAACAGGTAAAGACCAATGTTCTAATAAATGGAAAGGAGTTGAATCTTGTGGACACCACCAAGTTTTTAGGTATAACACTAGACTCTAAATTGCAATGGGGCCCACACATTGACGGATTGTCGAATAGACTTAGCTCTGCAGCATACGCGGTTTACAAAATTCGTCAATTAACCGATGTAGAAACAGCTAGACTGGTGTATTTTAGCTATTTTCATAGTGTAATGTCATACGGTATTTTGTTGTGGGGAAATGCTGCTGACATTTAAAGTATCTTTGTGTTGCAAAAGAGAGCTATTCGTGCAATTTATAATCTTAGTTATAGGCAGTCACTGAGGGATAAGTTTAAAGAAATTGGTATCATGACAGTCGCATCTCAATATATATATGAAAATTTAGTGTATGTAAAGAAAAATAATCATTTATTCACAAAGTTTAGCGACATGCATAAAATAAACACTAGAAATAAAGATAAACTCGTGTTACCAACCACTAGACTACAAAAAGTAAGCAAGTCTTTTCATTGTCAGGGTGTGCGATTTTACAATAAAGTGCCAAGCAAATTCCATGAATTAAGTATTAATAAATTTAAGTCTTTAGTAAAGCTAAAACTATGTGAAAAGGCTTACTACACTATTACAGATTATTTAGCCGACAAATTTGCTTGGGATTGATGCTGCTCACTCCCACATTTACGTAGACATCTTTGTTGTTAAGTTTGAAAGTGATGGACATTTAATTATTATTTTTTGGTGTATTTCGTATTTTGTTTTCGTATTTTATTTTTCGTTGACTTTGAACTGTGTAGTATTTTTTTATTTTTTGTGTAAGTATGTAAATGTGAGTACAGTGTAGGCTTGTAATGTTAATTAATTTTTTATTATCTTTCTGGTGGTTTTGAGTGTTTCCACGGCCTACCCAAATGTCCTGCTGGCGGTAGTGTCGTGCTTCGGGTCGTTGATCTTGACCAATATCGGTTAGGCTACACGATGGCTGGAGCCTGTATGCCGTCTGTATGGACAGGTTGACTCAAAACTATGATCCTTTCCTCAAAAGGCCTATCCAGACCCTATACTGTACTCGCACAGTTTTAATTAACTTTGTTTACGGACTTAAAAAAAAAAGACACCTCTGTGGTTTGTTTCGGTGTTTCTTCCCAGAGTGAGTCTTAGGAAATGCCGGCTCCTTCTATAAAGTCCGACTTGTAAAAATATCTGAAAAGATTTACTTACAGAAATAAATATCATTTCATTTCATTATAGGCTGATTATGCTTTATTTATTATTTTACAACTTGTTTTATTAATGGACGATAGTGTAGCTAAATTGGTCAGATCTGTCTACCTTCAACAAAAATAATAAGTATCTCTCTTGTTAACCATTTCTTTATTTATTTTATTAAACTGAAATAATACATATTATATAATATTATGATATATGTCTGTAAAGTGTAAACTTGTGTTTGACCTTGTCTAGCTTTTTGATGTTAAAATTGTATGCAATAGACCATATGGTCGAAGATGCTTGCTGTATTTTCAAATTGTATGTATTATCTCATTTTTAGAATATTATGTTTAATTTGTGTTTAGATTAAGCGACAAATTTTGTGATTAATTATCATTACATACACGCCATGTCAGAGGCCTGTGGGATTCCCAGAGGCGACTTAATAAGCTCTGACACTAGAGGGTGGCCACAACACACGCAAAAAAATTACATACACATACTTGTGAACACCTTTTGTCCCAAATGAATATATAATCCAAAAACACATTTATTCATGTAAAATTAGTATATAGTTGCTTATAATATGAATATCTGATAAATTATAATGAATATTATGCTAAATAAAAAAGTCAAATACTAATGTTTCTTTTATTACACTGTTCCATAAATATTGCTTTCAGCATTTTATGCACAAGTACAGTGTGTTTCTCGATAGTGATGTCGTTTAGATGTCAATTGTTTTTGCTGAGAAATAATTGACCATCTTGATGAACACTATCGAGAAACGCACTGTACTTGTGCATAAAATGCAATACAAAGTATCTGTTTTGAAATTCCCGCCCTAGCTTCTACTGTCTAGTTTTGGTGGGCGGAGCATAGATGGCGCCGGCCGGTAAGGAAAAATTTCCTCATAAAAATAGTATGGAGTCGTTATTCTTCCCCTTTAGGGGTATATATGTTCTGTGGCAACAAGCGAGAAATATTTCCGATACGATAACGACACCGACAACTAAAAATGACAGCACAGGAACGACAGGTAGGGGGGCGACTAGAGCGAAGTCGATTGGATAGTGATAACAAAATAACACACGTAAATCAAAAAGTTGGAAATAAACTATTATGGCAACACTTGTAACTATATTTCTACGGTTTCAAACAAAGTAGTCCACAATTAGAAAAGTGTATAAAAAATTATAAATAATAACTCCTATCAAGACTGTTTGGCATGGCATGGCATGTTTCTGGCAATTTATTAAACTGGTTTGTTGTCTGAGACATCAATAATCTAGTCAAGCTAAGACCCTTGGAAAAAGTACCGGAAAAATCAGTATTGCTGTCTTGAGTTAGCCTAATTACATTTGTCTTAAACACAGAAAATTTAAAATATTTTATCATGCCGGGTCTGAAAAAATATTTTTCATCATCATCAACCATTTATTATACCTAGTCTATATATTTAATAGTCTCCTTAGGAAGGAGGTTTTGGGCAACTTTACAATGCTCGCCAGACAGGTTGGAATGGGGTTTGTTTTAAATTTTCCTTCTCTTTGTAGTGCTGTTATCTTATCCTGCAGAGTTTGCTCCTTTAGTTGTCTCATACGACACCCACAGAATGAATAGGGGTAGTGACACTCTGTATTCTTAATCAGAACTTATCTTAAACCACACGGACGGTAAAAACGATTATTTTATGCATAAAATAAGAAGTATTATTTTTAGAGTTAACCTTGCATCTTCACTTCACATTTTAATTTTAAATTACAATTTATAATATAATCACATTCTAGAATTGTGTACAGATATTGTTTCTAACTAGGTGACTTTTTTATGACAAATGGATTATTAGTTTGTTGTCATATTTCTTTCAGAGGCAAACCTACTTTAAAAGTTATATAAAATAGTTGTGTCGTTGCACTCGTTGCACAGTTAATACTGCAAAAATAACATCAATCAAAAGTACAAAAAGACCAAGTAATCATCTTCACAGAGACAAATAGATGTAGCAGATAATGGATACTAAACTTATTTAAAAACTAAAAAGTAAAGCTGTATTGCCAGTGTTAAAATTTTTTAATTTAAATAGTACAATTTATTGCCTTACTAATATTATTGAAAACTCAAATTTTTCTAAAGCTATAGCTCACTGAGCAGTATTTTGAAAAATTCTAATAATAACATTTTAATTTGAAGCTGTCATGAACATTCATACGTTGGAAGTAGGAAGTATAACCGTAACCAACCCCAACAGTTCAGGTCGATTAATAAAAACGACGGCTTTAGATCGATTAATAAAATCTTACCCCATAGCCATTTCCATGTAGCCTTGGCTACAGAAAGGGTAAAATTAGTAAAATGTTTTCTATCATATTTTGAGACAATTTTATTGGGGAAAAAAACGTTTTTCATTCAATACATTCATAGGTCACGTCCAATGTATCCGATTTTTCAACCGTTGGTCTTTGCTGTGCTATATTTAGTGTAAGATGTTATTTTATTTAAAGAAAATTAATAATTTCTTGGGATTAGAGAAATCATTAGGTATATAGTAAATAATTAATTTCAAAACAAAACTATTTAATTTACGTAACCGTATTTACTTCTGAATTTTGCACTAGAGTTCAAACTAAAGTGCTAATTTTTTTAAAAGACTCATTTTTGGTTACATAATCATATAAATATTATTAAAACGATAATTTCTGCATACAAATCTTTTTGCTTAAAGTTTATTACGCATGTTTTGGTAACTCAGCTCGTAACGAGGTTCATAGACGGTATATGAAACTGTTTACAATGTGTCCACGCTGCAAAGAAATAACATAGCACAGTCTTCTCTTCTAGCTAACTGTATTTCACAACGTACATTTAAGTGCTCACAAGTTAGAATGACTATATTGTACATTATTAATTTATAAAACCTCACCCACGCTCACGTCAGATTACCTACTTGATATACTATCTACGTACATAGAGTATACGTAAACCTACTTACCAAAGGTACAACAACCGTAATGTATTGTGCTAGAACTACATCATTTTAGTTTTATTTATAATGCTTAAGTATTCATACAACAGTACTCATTCCCTACTCGTTTGCTTTTGACTACTTATTAAAACTAAATAAAAAAACTACTATTTAACTTCCTCGCAAAAGCCAAAAGATGGAATTTAATAAAAACAAAACTGCTTGAATTCGTCAGGCAGCCTATTCTCCCCTTTGCTCGTGTGTGGAGCTAGATTGTGTATGTGTGCTTGAACGCCGGTGCGATAGAGATTGAAACTCTTCACGCACACACTCGTATTGCTACTACAATGTACCTACTACCTACATATTATATAGCTATCTAACTAATTTATATAAAGGAAGGGGCCAAAAACAGGTAGAAGACGTTGAAAAAGATGAAAAATAAGACAGAAAAATATTGTGTTTCATGAATTACAAAAAAAGGCACTGTAAACTCTACCCTAGTACATTTGTGTACCAATGTTTATGTCAATAAAACACCACGGTACGTGCAAGTGTATTTCCGATATACAAGTTATGTTATTTTGTGCGTTATCTACATAAGTGCGCATCTATAAAATTAATATTTAGAGAGTACCTATAAAATTAAACACATTCGTACATGGAAGATATGCCGCTAGCCTGTAATACAATTTATAAAGTTGTATATTAATTACGGTATAATAAAGCATGCGGGGGGCGAGGGGGCGCGCCGCGCTCTCATATTCCGTATATTGATTGTGTGCGAGGGGGCCGGGGCAAGGAGGGGGCCACGGCGTGCCCCACTCTGTTTTTTACGACACGGCTTTCTGTGTAACATAATTATTGTATTAATTTTGTGAAATGTTTCGGTGTTATTTGTGAAAAATCGAGAAGTCGGTAAAGCGATTTGCGAGGTAAGGAATTTTCACCGGCATGATTTTAGACAAAAATTCCGTTTTACCGAATAAAATATAAATAAAATTTTATAGCTCTAAATTCTGTCGGCGGCGCGTACCTACGGTATATTACACTGTCATACCGCGTACGTATAGTGTTTTTTACGGGCATCGTTCTAAAAATAAGTTGTAATAATTATAATTTTATGTAGCGGTCGCAGCAGAGTCGGTTTTCTGTCGATGATCCATCAGTCGTGAAGTTGTGTGATTTGTGAAATAAAAGTGTATGTGGTGGTGCAGATGCAGGGGCTGGTGAGCGATAAGACGTTCCACTTGAAGTGGAACAACCACCTGCAGAACTTGAGCCAGCTGTTCACAACTATCTACTCGTCGTCGGCGCTCGCGGACGTGACGCTCTCCTGCCGCGACGGGACCCTCAAGGCGCATAAGCTCGTGCTCTCAGCATGCAGTCCGTATTTCGAACAAATATTCAAGTGAGTGCTTTTATTTTTAACGTGCAGATGCATTTTGTGAAGCTTTTATTTTTCAAATTTACTAATATATAACACGAGTTTTAAATCCGTTCCATTTGCTCATTATGACATCATTATTTTTTCTAGTGAAGTTATTTATAATACTCTGTAATGTATACAGACATGAGCAATGTATATTTTGCAATGAGCTTTAGTTTCTAATAACTTTTCCAAAAATATTTAGTGAATATGAGTGATAAAGTTATATAAAAGAGTTGAATGTCGAATTTAAGTATACTTAAAACAATTTTATTATCTAGTGATAACAAAAAATGTGTTGTTAATTAATAGACAGATAATGTATAAATTATAATAGCTGTATGTTATAACATTTGTATTTTTTTACTAGGGACAACCCATGTCAACATCCAATAGTGATCTTGAAGGGGATACCATTCTCAGAGATCAACCTCCTTGTAGAGTTCATGTACAAAGGCTCGGTAGATGTTCAAGAATTGGACCTACAGTCTCTAATGCACACAGCATCAGAACTAGAAATCCGAGGGCTTGCATATGAAGCAAGAGATAATGCAGCGCAATTGCTCAATGTTAACTTGGAGTATCCATCATACCCATCCACCACTGCAACAGCGCAACCAACAGCAGCATATTCACAAGCGAGGACAGATGTCGAGAGATTGAAGCAGGTGAGTCATCAGTCAGTCTGTTCAACATTTTATTAACATTTGTTAAGACAATTATTTAACATCCTGTTCTGCAAATTAAGAGTTCTATCATCTTTGTCTATTTAATCCGCTAAATTAACTTACATGAAACAATAAAACTGTATACGGCCATATACTAAGACACAAATTTAAGCAACTGCTTATTTATAAAAAAAAATAATGTTATTGTAATGAACATCTCAGTTTATGTTATTCCTATTCAAATGTTCGCAATTAAAACTTTGAGACTGAATTTTATGGCATATAACAAAATAACAATTAGTTATCATTTACATGTTATCAAATTGTTAATTTCGCTAGCTAACCGTGGAATATATACTACATAAAAGTGAAAATTATTATGAACTTTAGGCAATTTATTTAGGTCTTTAACGTAGCCTAGTGTTTTAATTGTTTGAGGACTAGCAATTCGTTACTGTTTCATCTGCATTTAAGCTCACTGTTCTACTTGTAAGGGTTGTAGCATGGTGTTTTTTAGCCATTATAATTCGTCAATAAACACTATACAATACAAATGAAATATTTAAATCCCACTGATAGTTCCAGAGATGAGAGAAGTGTGTTTAGAAGATTAGTACAGATTTCAAAACCTGTTTCATATTTTTGGTCATAAACTCTATAATTCTTTCAGTCTGTATTAGTTTCTGTAATCATAAACTAAATAAAACAACCTATTATAAGTGAGAAAAGGTACTACGGTAAAAATCATACATAAAAAAAGATTTTAAGTTTTAATGTACGTAATAAAAAATGTTCTTTAATTACGAGTCGTTTGAGTTCAAATGTTTTTTCATTCAAATGACCTCAATATTAACGCCATTTTTTAAAATCTGCGAAAACACAGATGCTTCTTAATTTAAAAAGATTTAAAAAGGTTATTGTCATATTATTAGTGTGTAATCAGATTTTGTATCTATGGCTCATCGAATAAAATTGAAAATAAGGTTTTCAATGGAAATTGCATCAAGGTATATTGGCTTAGTGCTAAACTGCAAAAAAAATTAGAAATATTGAAGACTAGCTGTCCTGAAAGAAGATGTCTTGTACACATGTCTTAAATCCTAAAAAATAAAACTTTTTTTAACAAATCCACTTGAACAAACTCAAAAAAATTCATCAAAATCAGTCCAGTTTAAGAGGTTTAAGCAGTTTAATAGGAGTTCAGTCACATACACACACAGAAGATTTACATATAAAGATAGGTCTCCTTGTTTATTAAATGTATGGGAGGACCTATGTCCTATTACTACTGTTATATTATTTTACGCAAGTAAGTTACATATTTTGTTTTTTTTTTTTACTACATTATTTCAGTGACAATTTATTTAGTATTTGATTTTATTTTAAATGTTTATATAGTTTGAATTTATAAAGGTTGTTCAAAGTTATGTACTTTTGTAAGATAGAAACAATAATTTACATAATTATTTTTTATAGTCATATTTAAATAATATAAATGTAGCTGTGTAATATTGTATATTATTAGTAACAGTGATTAAATTTATAAGATGTATGATTACTGATTACAAAATTTAGAGAAGCCCTAAAATATAAACATGCATTATATTATAAACTAATAATCATAAACAAATATATTGATATTACATTTATAATATATTTTTTATCTCTAAAGAACGCTTTCTGTACTGAAGATTTTTAATATGTACTACAAATACCGACGAATTACTTAAAGGTAAAATGTACATTTATTTTAATATACTAGGCACGTTTACAACGCAATTCTATTGTTTATCAGGTAATTTATCATTAAATAAACGCTATGACGTCATTTCATTTTTCGTATAATACTGAGTCATGTTAAACAAAGTTTTTTATTTACATAAGTGCTAATGGGCTGTTATTTCCTTTTACTATTAGGGTTTTAAAATAAGATTTTTTACTTCTATTTAAAAAACCTTGAACTTTTCGTTAGGTCTCATATTTAAATTTCGAATTTAATATTCTACTTGCGCACGTTTAAATAATTCTTTTTTTATTATACGGGTACAGCTTTTTTTTTAATTTACGTTGTTTTTTTTTATAAAATATAGGTAGTCCACCTTTTTTATAGCGCCTTCTGACTTTATATACGTGATGGCTAATTATAAAATATCTTTTAAGCTCTTCCTCATGATGCAGCCCTCGTAAAAGGCACGTTGTCTGTCAACCTTATAAAATAATGAATATATTTATTATGTCGTCGTCATAAACATCAAAACCTCCGCCGTGCTTTCTAATGTTATGTATCTTACCTTCACTGGTTTAGCGAATGAAATACTTGGGCCTCTTATACCGAATAATGCCACTTTTCCGTGGTATTACGCCGAGAATACATGTATTTACGTAATGTAAGAACTTATACTAAAAGTGTTCGCTAACATAAATACGAATTGAGTAAAATTATATCAATCTTGTTTCAATTGATTTGTTTACAACTATTGTTCACAATTATAATAAAGTAAGAAATTAATTTATTCGAATTTTAACAAAGTGACAACACACTTTGTTGAAATTCTAATAAAATTATGTTTGACTTTGTTTAGCTTTAAAATTTAAAGGAATCTAAGCTAAGCCTTTGACTTCACTGATATCTCAGCAGCTAAGGTAGTAACCGAGCTAACTGGTTTATGTAGTGCTGTTTGGAGGATAAGAGAGATGATCCCTGGAAAAAGGAAAACATCTCAAATTTGTATTAAGTAAGCAATGGTTCTTGACATACGAGCTTAGGGCTAAACTTAGGAGTCTGATAGGGAAAATTCAATACATTTACCGCCCACCAGGCTGCCTGTTGGTAGATGAAGAGCTTTGTTAACACATGCGTTATCACCACAGGACTTAGCCGACACTATGTATATTCCCTTTATTAAAGAAAAACATTAGTTACCAAATTATTCATAATGTTGTCAAAAGTTTTAGAGGCTCATATAACAAGCTTTATGACGTATGATGACGTAGTGCTTTTACATACGCGCCCGACTCTATCCTGTCCAAATATGTCCTGTATCACTGAAAGTAAAATATATTATGTGGTTTAACGTTAGACGTTAGAACGTTTGGCGTACGGATGGAGGACAATGTGCCATATCAAATAAAACCGTTTTTTGACACTTACATTATCGTTGTTTGAATGAACGTGCTAATTACGCAGTCAGGTTATATGTTGTGTTACATTCTTATTTAATTTAAAATTTAAATACTGGTCAGAAATTTTGAATTGATTTCGAATTGAGAACTTTGTATTTGTATAAAAGTGAAGTAGACTTTATAGTACAGAGTCGCGGTGATTGCCGTGAACTGCTGCGGTTATGCGCCAACTCAGATTTTAACATTATTGCAAAAAAATTAAAACATGTACTAAGTTAGGGTACTTGTACACGTTGCAAGTAGTTTGCGCATGTTTAAAGCACTTACATGCATCGCGAAACGGACTTAGCTGGTCCGGCGATTCAAGCATGTACGAGCAACCCGTGTAGGTAACCTGCATGACATACGGCGCGCGATTTATTTATTAACTCTATTATAATAACATTTTTAACTAATGATTCAATAAGAATTCTCTTTCGTCGAGGCATTTTAACTTTACTGAACCCTTTCAAACCTGTAAGGAGCAAGACCGCTACATGTAACCCTCGCGAGCAGCATGTACATTATATCGACCAAACGAGCAAGTAACTTGTGCATACTCCTAACACAAATAATCCGCGTCTCTGCCCCCTCCAACCACTTGCACCGTGTAGAGTTACTTATTTAGTTCTTCTTTGACGTACTATTAAATGATTTATTCAAGCTTACAGTGAACTGAAAACCGCAAAGGGAGCACAAAATCTTGTATAATACAGACATCTGCGACCATGAAAAAAGAAAAAATTGCCCCTATATTTGGGATAGGTAAAAAACTCCTACAGTTCAATGAAGACCTGCGACCATTCACATATGTTGAATTATTCACATATTCAGGCTTTACTGAACCATTTTTGGATTAGCATTTGTGATAAAAGTAGGCCGAAAGAATTTCTGAGAGCCCTTTCATAAAATATCAGAGGGAGTGTAGAATATGTAGAATAAAAGATATATCCTATGGCTGCGGCTTAGAGACATCTTATTCTAAATTTAAACTGTTATACGTTCATCTGTACCTATAAGTACCTACCTATGTCTATACTGTACCTAAAACTTATATAAAAGTTCACTTCTTAGGCTCACAGCCAATTATAAAATTAAAATAGTTTGGTTTTCTTCGTGTCAGCCTAAATAATAAATATATCACTTTTGATATTAACCACAGCGTAGAACTGTGCACACACTGATTAGTTAATCAATATCGCTGCCATGGGATTTTCCTCCTGTAGGACGGAAAGCTCTTTATCGTAATGAAAATCTACATATAAGCCTCTTCTTTCTCATCAACCTTAACAGGATATACCGTTTTATTTTCATAAAAACTTCGATGCCTTTGTCCAGTCAATCAGTCAAAAAGGAGCATATTATTGTCTATCGTAACCTGTCTGTAAGCCGAGGCATGGTACGGTGACTGCCCCAACTGAGAGGGGATTTAAAAAATGTAGTCTCGTATTAAGACGTAGAGGACCAAAGGTTGCATTTAAATGATACATAGTATTTAATATCCTATTACATAAAACTAAGACCTAAGGAAAAAATCACTACTTGTCGTGTCGTTTTGTCTTGACGTCATGGCAACAGATGAAAAAAAATTAGCATAGCATAGTGAAAATTATAGTATAAATGTGTTTTTTTTTAATAAGGCAGTAATCATTGTGAATACCAGTCACGGAAGTTACATTCGTACTATTTAACGGAACTCATTGCAAGGAGTTAACGTACCTTTAGTGACAAGTGAGCGAGGAGTCTTGATTATTAATGTTATTTAAAAAAAACAGTCAAATTGACTAAAGCTGTAAAAAACGGCGCGCCTGGGGCGTAACAATAACTTTTTTAACATT